TTGTAAATACGCTGTTTAAACCATTTTATTGAATATGGACGTAATATTCCCAGTAACTATGAAATTTTACTCCATTTGAATGCTTAACAACAACAGAAGGTAACAAGAGAAGCATGACAAATTTCCTTTGTTTTGTTTTTTTCAAAGCAATTATCAGCACCTCATGACATGCATATTTAATACTTAAATTATCTGAATTCTTTGTCGGCACATCCGTATTTTGGATCACTAAATTCTAAAACATTTCATTATATTTGTTTTTAAGCTGAATTATTTTTTAATTATCCATCACAGGCTGATGACACTTCAATAGGAATATGTTGTGTTTCCAGCATGAATTTATTGTGATAACTGGAATTGCAATAGTTGTTAAATTATTTGCAATGAAGTTGGCCATTTTTCTCTACAGTGTGTCACTTTTTTTTTTCAATGTAACGTAATATATTTAATATCATTTCCGCTGTCAACATTGTTAAATTTCTCTTTGAAGACAACAACAAAGTCTGTCAACTGCTGCTGCTTCTACAAATATGATGACACGTTGTTAATAACATATGGGGCGGATCACTTGTTTTTCTGGCGTCTCTTTTGGGACCCCGTCGGTATACAAGACGGAAAACTCTACAGGGACAAACTCAGCGGCGTTTTTGAGGTGATAAACATTTAAAATTCTTTATAATATTTTGCATCATAATCATCAGCTGACAATTATTGATTGTTCTGAAAAGGAAGCTGTTTTCTTCACTGGTAAAATAGCAGTGCAAATGTACCTATTGATCTTTCATAAGAAATACTAGTAGCCTTATTGGCTAACAAAGTTAGGCACGCAGTTTAAAACAAAATACTAGGGATGTCAACGAGTACCCGGTTAACCGGGTACTCGATCGAACGTCCGAGTATCGAATACTAAAATCGGTACTCGGTTACTCGGATGTATATTTTTAAATATTTCTAAGCTTATTTATTAATGCATTAAAACATCGGTTTTAAAACGTAAAATGTTCACTGCACTTGTACATACATAATGTACAGTAATTAGGGTTTCCTATGCCTCTAAGTGACCGTTATCGCCCGTGGCAGTGTTTATACAGTAATTATCGTGACCAAACACCTGATGTACCTACCCGGGCTTTTCTCACCTTCGACTGTCGTCTTCCCTTACATTTAGTTTGCTTTAATTATTTGTTTTCATTGAACACCGTTTAAGGTCCATTATATTTAAACAAATTAAATAATTTTGTCAATTCTCCAAGAAGCCGTAAATTCTCGGGAAAGAGAGACGATATTGCACGTGCGATTGTTGATTTGGATGCATTTGATTACATGCCAATTAATGCAAATGCTTTAAAAATATTATGTCCATCGTTGCTCTAAACTACAACATACCGTATCGTAATTCTATGAAATCTAGGATCAAAAAGTGTACGAAGATCGTATAAATCCGCTCTGTTATAGGATAACTTGATCAAGTTTATACCGTACATATAGCTCAGACAACTTATCACTTGGACATCAAACGCACCAAAGAGTTACATTACAATTACGGAACAGATTATTTTTTAAACAAAAATACTGTGAACCATTTCTGATTTTATTTCTCGTATTTATCTGATAAATAAATTGAACTTAAAAAAATGTTAGATTAAATTTCGTCGGTTACAAAGTGGTCATAATTGTTACAACGCATTTGCAGGTAACCTCCCATCGGTTTTAATTCTACAACAGTTCAAAATGTTTTACAGTTATCAATTAACTTGTTCATATTTATTTACACTTTTACCGAGTACCCGGGTACTCGATCGGAAAAACGTCCGAGTAACCGAGTATCAAAAATTGACCGATTTGACATCCCTACAAAATACCCATCTAAAGATATTAACATTTCTATTTTGAGTATCTTAATCTTTGATTTGATTGATAATGAAAATAAAAGTCTTACTTTTTGTTCGAAATAAGGAAGGAACTCAGCCCTCAATGGTTACATCACACGCCTTTTCTTCGTCTGGTGACGTCATCACGGGGGACTCGAATGGTTCCATAATGGTATGGACCAAGGACTCGGAATTTGTGTTCAGAGTCAACATGGACGTCTCTGCTGGAATGAAAGGAGCTCACCTGGTAACATTATTTAATGGATTTATATATTTCTGTATTAGTAACTTAAACCCTCTTCTACTTACACGTGTTATTTATTTTGATCAGAAGCCAGTAAATGCACTCTGTATGATGGGCGACAATACTCTTCTTTCTGGGGGAGGAACTTTTATCAAGTCGTGGGACAGCATCAACAACTACAGAAAAATATCCAAAAGAGAGGTAAACATAATCGTGAAAGGAAGAAAAAAGTCTAAAACATTCACATGTGTAACGTTAGGAAATAATGGTTAATGTACATGAAATAAATTTAATATTTACATACTTTCTAGATTCCTGAAATCGCTGGTGACGTCAGAACAATAATTCCACAACGAGGCTCTGGAGCAGACGGACAAATTTTTGTGGGAACATCTAAATCATGTATCCTAGCAGGGTCTCTACCTGTAAAATTCCGTTTCATAGTTCAGGTAAACATTATAAATAAAAGATACTTTTATTTCATTAAATTGAATAGTATTGCTTATTTTATTGATTGTAAACATATTCTTTTTTTGTAATGTATTTTATATATTGATTATATTTCAACAAGGGTCACTGTAAAGATATTTGGGCGATAGCAGCAGTACCAGGAGAGCCCGCCTTTATCACCACCGCTCACGACCAGTTCGTCTTCAAATGGTCCGCCGTCAGACATCGCGTCATCTGGCGCTCTCAGATGGAGGTAATCAAACTATATTTAATATATCTTCGTTTTTTTTTTCTCAAACGCATTTTATAAATTATGATCTGATCTCGTTGATTATTGTCTGGAATCTTTCTTTCCTATTATGTAGAAGCCTTCCTCGGCTCTGGCAGTGGACAGTCGTGGTATGTTTGTCGCGGTGGGTTCCGTGGCTGGAAGATTCTTTGTCTTGAACGCTAAGAACGGGATGCACATCATTACCGTACAAGTAGGAAAATCACAGATCAATACCATGAGGTTCTCGCCTGGTAAGCATTAACAAGGAAATATTGTTATGTTGGATTGTTTAATAAAAAGTAGGTGAACATTTAAAACTGTCTCGCTATATTACCCAGACAATGCCATGCTAGCAGTTGGTTGTGAAGATGGACACATCCACATCTTTTACGTACATGATGACGGGCAGCTCTACCGCAAGAACAATATCATCCTTAGGGTAGGTTCTTTGTAGATGTACAGATATTATTTTTTATAAACTTATCACGTGATAATGATTGTAAATAGTAAAATTAATAATATCTAATGTTATATTCAAAGGGACACAGCAAATTTGTAACAAATCTTGACTGGTCCACCGACAGTCGCTACCTACAGAGTGTGGACGGAGATTTTGAACTGTTATGTTGTAAGTGTTTTGCAGTCACCTTATTAGCGTTAAATATTTAATTATTTTTGGAAATGATTAACCTTGAAGAGTACAATTAACAGCTTCATTATCATTTAGGGAATATTCAACGCATGGAGAGAGAGGCCCCTCGTGCTCTTCGGGATTGTAACTGGCAAACGTACAGTTGTTGCGCTGGGCATCCTTTAATGGGTAATACGATTTTCTACTTCCGAAGTAATATTTACTATATGACTTATTAAATATTTATGACCATATTATCTTTTTGACTTATCCACCTCCTTTGCTGCTTCGATCAAGTCCCAAAGGGACGCCATAAAATCTCGGGTTTTCCCTGACTTTAGGTCCCTGGACGTCATGTGACCCTGGTGAGAATGTTTCGGTGGTAGCACGCTCCAATTACCGCGAGGTCATCGTCACGGGAGACAACACAGGCAGAATCAAAGTTTTCAAATATCCATCCTCCACCAACATGGTAGTAAAAACTTTGTTTCTGAAATCAACAAATTAATTCTTGTTCACATTAAATTTTCTAAAGCATTGCCCGTAACTTAATTTGTTCAAAGGGCGATATTTCTTGTTGCTAATTAAAGTCAAAATTTGCAGCAAATATGAGGAATACTGTATAAAGTTACCTGTTTTTTTATCCTAGCCTGCCTGTCGCTGGACCAAGCTGTACTCGACTACCGTAACAGCTCTGGAGTTTCTGTATGATGATAGCTTCATGGTGTCCGCGGCAGGGAAGATGCCAGTTCTGGCTCAGTGGAGCGTGGTGGACACGTTCAGTGGAAAACAGTACAACATTTAAGCAACAAGCTCAGTTAACGCTGATCTTGTCTAAACATTTAGTAGTTCCATTCACGGTATTATGAAAAGTAGCTGACGTTCAGACCAAGAAAAAATATAACAAAAGTAAAGTCATTCTGCTTAGAATGTTTATCCAGTAATATTTACTTGCAACTAGTTGATCTTTTTATACCTTATCCATCACATCAGGTAAACATTCACTAGAACTAGTAAGACTAATTACCTCCGATATCTTACATAATTTATTATTATTACTTATTCCGTCCATTTTCACATAAATGTATATATATCAGCATATTTGTTATGTATATATCAAAGTATATGTTGCATGTTATTTTTTTACTATACACTTGTATTTGGAAAAAAATTTTATACTTAGTTATTAAAAGTAAACAAATTTTGTGTAATTTGTTATTGTATCAAATAGTAACTATGTCTGTTGTTTAGTTCTCTATCAAAGTTTTTTTCTTGACAGGAAAGGGTTTTTTCATCCTTTCCAAGCTCTGGTCATTCTGTGATAACTGTTATAAATGTATTACTGTATTGTCATTGCTCATTTTAATAAATTAGAAGACTAATCCAGTTTTTATTATATCTTAATCCAGATGTTTATATATAAACTTCTGGAAATCCTGTAAATACACATAAAAAGGGTGGAGAAGGCTTACATACGATATGCCTACTGAAATATGTTCATACCAAATCCAATATAAAAGGTAAAACTATTCAATCAATAAATAACAATTTTATTAAAATTAAATCACAAACAATTTGTATGTGGATAATTTACGATTATTAATACATGATTTTCTTCCCTATCAAAGCAGGTTACACAGTAGCCTATGAGAATTTTGGGAGTGTTAAATAAATATATATAACTTTTCCAGTCTGGCAGATCAACTGTAGCATTTCTCTTCTCATAATTACTTCATTGACCACTCCTTGAAGAAAATGTTGTCTTTATTATCTACAACAACTACTCCACAGACCACTCCTTGAAGAAATCATTGCCTTTATTGTCTACTACAATGAAAGCTGGGAAGTTCTCCACTTCTACTCGCCACACAGCCTCCATACCTATTTAATATTAAAAAAAACAGTCTTCAGTCTATAAATTCCTCATTCTTCATACAAATCTTTAAGTTGAACACATGCTTTTTTTTTTTTTTAAATAAAAACATTATGAGCTATGAAGATATCTAGTAGATCATATTCCCTTACCTAATTCTGGGAACTCCAGCTGCATTGATTACTTTCCCTTACCTAATTCTGGGTACTCCGGCTGCTTTATTACATTCCTTTAACTTATTCTGGGTACTCCAACTGATTTGGTTACATTCCCTTACCTAATTCTGGGAACTGCAGCTGCTTTGATTACATTCCCTTACCTAATTCTGGGTACTCCAACTGATTTGATTACTTTCCCTTACCTAATTCTGGGTACTCCAACTGATTTGGTTACATTCCCTTACCTAATTCTGGGAACTCCAGATGCTTTGATTACATTCCCTTACCTAATTCTGTGTACTCCAGATGCTTTATTACATTCCTTTAACTTATTCTGGGTACTCCAACTGATTTGATTACATTCCCTTACCTAATTCTGGGAACTCCAGCTGCTTTGATTACCTTCCCTTACCTAATTCTGGGTACTCAAGCTGCTTTGATTACATTCCTTTAACTTATTCTGGGTACTCCAACTGATTTGATTACATTCCCTTACCTAATTCTGTGTGCTCCAGCTGCTTTGATTACATTTACTTACCTAATTCTGGGTACCCCAGCTGCTTTGATTACATTTACTTACCTAATTCTGGGTACTCCAGATGCTTTGATTACATTTACTTACCTAATTCTGGGGACTCCAGCTGCTTTGATTACATTTACTTACCTAATTCTGGGTTCATTAGCTGCTTTGATTACTTTCCCTTACCTAATTCTGGGTACTCCAACTGCTTTAATAACATTCCCTTACCTAATTCTGGGTTCATTAGCTGCTTTGAATATTTTCCCTTACCTAATTCTGGGTACTCCAGCTGCTTTGATTACTTTCCCTTACCTAATTCTGGGAACTCCAACTGATTTGATTATATTCCCTTACCTAATTCTGGGTACTCTAGCTGTTCCACTTTCTTGATACAGTTTTGTGCCAATATAGCAGCTGGTCCTCCAATGGAGCCCAGGTAAAAGCCACCATTATCCTTACAGGCCTTGGTTACCTGTGCCAATCATATAATACAGTCTACTGTAACTAATTATCTTTGAAAACATTTAGAACAAGAAGTCTCCTGTGTGAAACACGTATACACTTATTAAACTCCATATGTATTTAGCTCTTTAATTAAATCTGAAATGTGAACTTACCTGTTTACTTCTATTGCCCTTAGCCAACATAACCATACTTCCTCCTGCTTTCTGGAATTCATCTACATAAGAGTCCATCCTCCCTGCGGTTGTAGGGCCAAAAGAACCAGAGGGAAGGCCCTAGATTTGTGGAGAATCACAAGAATTTTGTCAACTCATGTCTCAATTACTGTGTACAGTAAACCTCTCTAATACTGAAGAGCCAGCGATGAAAAATCTTGATTAGTTATAAATGTTACTTCATATTTCACCATATCTGATAAGTTCATAATGCATTTTAAAACTACAAGGAATGAAAGCCATTATGCAGTAAGTGTGTGTTTATTTATATATGTTTGTTTGCTTTAACTGTAACTGTTTTCATCAATTGACCATACTGACCTCTGGTGTCTTGGCCGGTCCTGCATAGTACACCGGATGGTCCTTGAAGTACTGTGGGAGAGATCTCTCTGTTCTCAGTCTCTCCTGAAGCTTAGCATGGGCGATATCTCGGGCTACTATCAGGGTACCAGACAAACTTAGTCTTGTCTTCACCGGATACTTGTCTAATGATTTCAGTATCTTATCCATCCCATCATTTAAATTAACCTGTGGGAAATGGAGAACAACTTTTTATCAAAATGACAAAAACCGCATCAAAACCAGAATGAAAAAACATTTTTTTTCTAAAATGTACACTATCTATGCATTGTACATCTTGTAATATATTTTAGACATTATTAAAATAAGGAAAAGACAAAAGATCATCATCATCAGTTTAAAAATTGTTAACATTGATATAATTTTATTTTAATATTTTAAGTACATGAGACCCTGACCTGAACCACCTCTGTAGTGAGATCTTTCTCCTGAACCTCTGGCATGTACTTTGAAGGGTTAGTCTCAAGCTGCTCAAGGAAGACCCCATCTTCTGTTATTTTTCCTAAAACCTACAGAAATTTACAACTATTAATACAACAAGTTTAAAAGATATAAAAATCGAATGCTTGTATTAAAATCTTGCATTAATAAAAAGTTAAGTAGGTTCTCTCAGTCTGAAGTGTAAATTTTGTTTAACTTTTAGCTATTTAGTATCTCACCTGTCTGTCAGCTGAACAGGACACGCCTATCCCTACTGGACAGGAGGCTCCGTGACGGGGCAGTCGCACCACCCTCACATCATGACAGAAATATTTACCCCCAAATTGAGCCCCAATTCCTATCCTCTGTGTCAATTCATGGATCTTCTTCTCCATGTCCAAGTCACGGAAACCTCTTCCATGTTCATTTCCTGTCAAATATTTCTAAATATCAGTCAGTTTATACAAGTTTTAAAGAGAATCTAATTTACTACCTTAGAAATATGAATTATTAACCTGACTTAAAGATGCTGTCGAGGTATTTGGTGGATGCTAGTTTCACAGTTTTCAAGTTGAATTCAGCTGAAGTTCCACCTATTACAATGGCCAAATGGTAAGGAGGGCAAGCAGCTGTACCTAACGTCTACAATTCAGAATGAAAAAACAAAATGAAATAAAATCTAAACAAACAAAAACTCCATCCCAATTTGACCTTAAAAAAATTAGCTATGTTTTCTCTTTGACATAACTACTGTTTAAGAGATAATGGGGGTAGTGGAGTCTTACTTTTCTTTTCTCATTGACAAATCAAACTTTTTTTCTGAATTGACTGCTTTCTTACCTTTATTTTCTCATTGACAAAACTCATCAGTTTTTCAGGGTTAAGGAGGGCTTTAGTTTGCTGATATAAGAAGGTTTTATTGGCCGACCCGCCTCCTTTGGCGATGAACAGGAAGTCATACTGATTACTGTTAGTGGAATAAATTTCTATCTGAGCCGGCAGATTGGTACCTGTGTTGGCTTCTTTATACATATCCAGTGGTGCTACCTTTAATAAACATTCCTTTGAATTACAGCATTTGTCAAATGAATTTTGTGAAGAAAACTAGTCCTTAGTAAATAAAAAAAAAAAATCACAAATTTATCATCTCCAAATAAATTGAATAAATATTATTATAAAAGTTATATTTATAATTTAACTGTTTAAATAAATTGATATTCAATTGATACCTGTGAATATCTTAGATTTTTCTTGGTGTAGGTATTGTATACACCTTTGGATAAAGCCTCGGCATCATTTCCATCTGTCCAAACATACTGACCTTTTTTACCTTAAAAAGAAAGAAGCAAGAGAATTCAGATCCATTTAAGTCCACCTCATCAATTAACCTACAATTCTAATGCAAGGGTGATAAGTGTAGGAATAATTACAATTAACAAAAAAATACAGATTATTCTTTGAAAATTGAATTCTATTCACAAAGGTTCCTTTTAATAACTTACTATAATAACTAGGGATGTCAAATCGGTCAATTTTTGATACTCGGTTACTCGGATGTTTTTCCGATCGAGTACCCGGGTACTCAGTAAAAGTGTAAATAAATATGAACAAGTTAACTGATAACTGTAAAACATTGTAAACTCTTGTAGAAATAAAACCGATGGGAGGTTACTTGCAAATGCGTTGTAACAATTATGACCACTTTGTACCCGATGAAATTTAATCTAACATTTTTTTAAGTTCAATTTATTTATCAGATAAATACGAGAAATAAAATAAAAAATGGTTCACAGTGTTTTTGTTTTACAAAATAACCTGTTCCGTAATTGTAATGTAACTCTTCGCTGCGTTTGACGTCCAAGTGATAAAAGTTTAAACTTGATCAAGTTATCATAGCTATAACAGAGCGGATTTATACGGGTCCTACTAAACAGAGTACGCTAGAGTATGATAGAGTACTTTAGAGTACGCTAGAAAAATTGTGTATTTAATATAATTAGACTGTTTATCCATGTATATACAACTTGATTAAACAGTATTATAAAATAATATTGCAACATTTCGATCTTCGTATACTTTTTGATCATAGATTTCATAGAATTACGACACGGTATGTTTTAGTTTGAAGCACCCCCCCCCCCCCCCCCCCCCCCCCCCCCCCCCCCCCAATAGGATTTTCGAGTTTCGACAATTTTTAATTATCGTTTTTTTTAATTTTTTAATTTTTTAAAAAAATTTTTTTTGCTTGTCAACTTTTTTTAGGTGAGTAAAAAAAATTTTTTCTCAGGTTGACCCACCCACTTTCTGAAACGATGCTACGTGCCTGTCTTTCCCGAGAATTTACGGCTTCTTGGAGAATTGACAAAATTATTTAATTTATTTAAAAATAATGCACCTTAAACGATGTGCAATGAAAACAAATCAATAAAGCAAACTAAATATAAGGGAAGAAGACAGTCGAAGGTGAGAAAAGCCAGGTAGGTACATCAGGTGTTTGGTTACGATAATTAGTGTATAAACACTGCTACAGGCGCTAACGGTCATTTAGGGGCGTAGGAAACCCTAATTACTGTATGTACAAGTGCAATGAACAAATGAACATTTAACGTTTTAAAACCGATGTTTTAATGCATTAATAAATAACCGGGTACTCGTTGACATCCCTAATAATAACTTACTACCCATTCCTACACATGTAAACATCTAAGTAATTATTAAGCAGATCACTAAATGTAACACTAACCCATTATAATAGCTGTGCCTGTATCCTGACAGCCAGGAAGCACCATTCCTGCTGCAACATTAGCATTTTTTAGAAATTCAAGAGCAACATAACGGTCATTTTCTGATGCCTCTGGATCCTTCAGTATATTAGAGAGTTGCTGTAAAAGACAGGTAAAACCAATTTCATGCTGTGTGTAAACTGTACAAACAGCCAACAAAACCACCATATTATTCCTACTTAAACATGTTTAATGATAATTTTTTTGGATTTTTTTATTTCATAAATTTACCTGCAGATGAGCTGGTCTTAGTAAGTGGGCCACATCAATCATTGCCTGTTCTGAGATCATTGTTAGAGCCTCTGGTTCAACATTCAGACATTTCTTCCCCTTCACCTCAAATGTAGACACATAATCACCTGAATAGAGAATAAAATCATGCATAAATTAAAAAAAAGTTGTAAGTTTGTACTTATAACAAAAATCCATTGCCATCAGACCAAAACTGTAGGAGGAGTAGCGTTTTAAAGGAATTTCACAGAAATTTCTATGTGTAGTAACCATGGCAACACCGTTCATCAAAATCAAAAACCGATGCACTAGTTTATGTATCTTAGTGTAGTCTAGTGTAGTATACTTGTGTGCCAAGTTATATTGAAATCAGACCAAAACTGTAGTAGGAGTAGCGTTTTAAATGAATTTCACAGAAATTTCTATTTTTAGTAACCATGGCAACACCGTTCATCGAAATCAAAAAACAATGCACTATTTTATGTATCTTAGTGTAGTCTACTTGTGTGCCAAGCAATATTGAAACCAGACAAAAACTGTAGGAGGAGTAGCGTTTTAAAGGAATTTCTATTTTTAGTAACCATGGCAACATCGTTCGTCAAAATCAAAAACCGATGCACTGGTTTATGTATCTTAGTGTAGTCTACTTGTGTGCCAAGTTATATTGAAATCAGACCAAAACCGTAGGAGGAGTAGAATTTTAAAGAAATTTTACATAAATTTCTATTTTTAGTAACCATGGCAACACCGTTCATCGAAATCAAAAACCGATGCACTATTTTATGTATCTTAGTGTAGTCTACTTGTGTGCCAAGTTATATTGAAATCAGACCAAAACTGTAGGAGGAGTAGCGTTTTAAAGGAATTTCACAGAAATTTCTATTTTTAGTAACCATGGCAACACCGTTCATCGAAATCAAAAACCGATGCACTAGTTTATGTATCTTAGTGTAGTATACTTGTGTGCCAAGTTATATTGAAATCAGACCAAAACTGTAGGAGGAGTAGCGTTTTAAAGGAATTTCACAGAAATTTCTATTTTTAGTAACCATGGCAACACCGTTCATCGAAATCAAAAACCGATGCACTATTTTATGTATCTTAGTGTAGTATACTTGTGTGCCAAGTTATATTGAAATCAGACCAAAACTGTAGGAGGAGTAGCATTTGTTGTTTACAGACAGACGGACAGCTGACAGACACGGACGACGGACACCTTAGCATAAGCTCTTCTGGTCTCTGAAGGTTGTAAAATCAAAAATCTTAAGAAAAATACAAGCACCTATTAACATATAATGCTGGATCTTAAATTACTATACAAAGAAATAGCTAAATTCTAACTACAGAAGAGCCAACATTTCATCAAATCAGATTCAATATTAAACATCCCCCCAATTGTTTCTATCACTATAGTTAAATTGCAATACTATTATAAATCTGTACAGGGTTTAAACTTAACGCTTCGCAAATTGCGAGTAAAAATTGGTGTGGGCTCATAAAATTTGTATTGCTCGCCCACGTGGCGAATAAAAATTCTACAGGGGGCCGAATTCATTCCCAGTCCCCTTACTGAAAAACAGACATTTTACGCAGGTTTTTTTTATTTAAAACAACAGAAAAACAAGAGGCCCATGGGCCACATCGCTCACCTGAGAAGCTTTGACCATTCTGTTCTTTACCAGATTTCACCCTTGTTATACATAATGCATCCCCACCCTACCCCACTGATCATAATTTAGACATTTTGAAATCTACACTACCCCATGATCTTTCCATGGGCACACATGTACTTTTCCCAGTGGTTCCTGAGATTTTCATATATATTTCTATGTAAAACTTTGATTCCCTATAAGTGGGGGTCATGATTCCTACAATTTAGAATTTACACTACCCCAGAATGCTTCCACATAAGCTTCACTTTTTCTGGCCCAGTGGTTCTAGAAAAAATTTTCAAAGATTTTTCCTATATATTTCTATGTAAAACTTTGATTCCCTATAATGGCCCCGCCCTTCCCCCGGGGGTCATGATTCCTACAATTTAGAATTTACACTACCCCAGAATGCTTCCACATAAGCTTCACTTTTTCTGGCCCAGTGGTTCTTGAGAAGAAGATTTTCAAAGATTTTTCCTATATATTTCTATGTAAAACTTTGATTCCCTATAATGGCCCCGCCCTTCCCCCGGGGGTCATGATTCCTAAATTTAGACCACCAGAATGCTTCCACATAAGCTTCACTTTTTCTGGCCCAGTGGTTCTTGAGGAAAATTTTCAAAGATTTTTCCTATATATTTCTATGTAAAACTTTGGTTACAGATTTACACTACCCCAGAATGCTTCCACATAAGCTTCAAAAATTTTCAAGATTTTTCCTATATATTTCTATATAAAACTTTGATTCCCCATTGTGGCCCCGCCCTTCCCCCGGGTGTCATTATTTGAACAATTTAGAATCTACATTATACCAGGATGCTTCCACATAAGTTTCAGCTTTTCTGGCCCAGTGGTTCTTGAGAAGAAGATTTTCAAAGATTTTTCTATATATTTCTATGTAAAACTTTGATTTATAATGGCCCCGCCCTTCCCCCGGGGGTCATGAAATTTAGAATCTAACTAAAGGATGCTTCCATATAAGTTTCATTTACTGGCCCAGTGGTTCTTGTTTTCAAAGATTTTTCCATATATTTCTATGTAAAACTTTGATTCCCCATTGTGGCCCCGCCCTTTCCCCGGGGGTCATGATTTGAACAATTTAGAATCTACATTATACCAGGATGCTTCCACATAAGTTTCAGCTTTTCTGGCCCAGTGGTTCTTGAGAAGAAGAATTTTTAATGACCCCACCCTATTTTTGTCTTTTCTTGATTATCTCCCCTTGCGAGGGGATATGTCCCTTCATTTTAACAATTTAAATTCCCCTTTACCCAAGGATGCTTTGTACCAAGTTTGTCAAAATTGGCAAGTGGTTCTTGTCGAAAATGAGAAAAGTTTACAGACGGACAAATAAACATGTGTACTCACTTGAGCCTTCGGCTCAGGTGAGCTAATGAAATAAATCACAGCAGTATGGTCCTATTGTTCGTAAATATCCCTCATCTTTTCCATTTAAAGTACTACACGATTTGTGAAATTCCCTAAAACGATCGTCTTTTTTTCCTAATCCGTTTCCTCCAACCCTCTGTAAATGGTTGATACGTGAGAGATATACAATTTAAATAACTCCCAACTACTCAGTCATATGAATAGTAAGTGTTTTCACCTATTTCAGATATGTTGTAGTAAAAATATTTAACCTAGAAAATCTTATTGTGTCATTGTCAATTTATTAGTTGAAGACATGTACCAGGGCTACGTATTTATATACATGTATTACCAAGTAAAAAATAAAAGATAGTAAAAATGTTTATTGAATACAATTTTATTTCCTTTGATTAATATTTATATGACATCTGATTTTTATAAAGTAAGAACTAATTTTAAACCGGTGAATTAATATATTTATTTCATTTGTATCTACTTTTTGTCCCAGTATCTATGCTTTTTAAAAAGATCACAGAGACTGTGGGCTAACAAATTTAGCAGTGGGCTCCTAAATTTGAAATGTCAGGAGCCCACATGGCTCGTTGAAATTTCAGTTAAGTTTAAACCCTGCTGTATTATTTAAAATAATTAATCAAAATTATTCTCTATAAGTATCAGCATTGTTAAGTATATTCCTAAAAACATACCTGTTAATTTCTTAAATGGGGTATCATGGGGGCTTTCAAACTGCAGAATGTCTTGGTAGAAGAATGGCTTGACGGCTGCAGCAGTTGTTGCTTTGTGTCGCAATGAACAGCGACACGCGGTCTGAAGGACAGATAGCAATCTACCATTGCTGTTCATGGTCATCTTTATAAAATGAAATATACTTTTATAATTGTAATGTATGTCCTAGCTTTGATATATTTCCTTATCTGAGCTTATTCATGAAACATTCCTGATCTGCTGGTGATTAAGGAAATCATATACTTTTCTACAGTATATTTCAAAGTGAATATAGAAAAAAAACGCTTAAATAAAAACTTATAAACTTTTTATGATAATTCGCCAAATGCGAGGTGCACTGATATTTTGGTTCTCTAACTTAGATCTCGACAACGTAAAAATGACCACCAAATCCTGTAAACTTGGGTTTCCAAAGGGTTACAGATTGTTTCCTTAGCTCAAAAATAAGCAATTAAGAAATGTCATACGAGTAAAATACTACTGAAACAAATCTTTTAAACGAAAATATCAAAAAGTTCTTACATCTTGTGTAGACCAAAACTCATTCGTCTGCTGTCCTTGAACTATTCATAGGTCTGTAAAACGCTTCTTTTTATGGCTAAAAATGCGCTGTTTCAAGCGTTTAAAAGACGCAAATAAACATTGTACTTTCACTTTGAACATGTCTGCATGATGAGGAAGTTGTTCAGGTATTAGAGACAGAATCATGGACCAACAAGAGACGCGAGATGAACCCCTTACGTTTGCAGACCTGGGAATAACTGCAGCACCGAAGCTAGAAGAAGGGGCATTAGGCAAGGTGCGTGTCGATTTCTTTCCTTTCTTTCAATTTTCCTCTATCCGTTTATTTTCTGGCTTCGTAGGATAGTTTTACAATATACGTATTCTTAGTCTCAGTAGTTAATTAACTTGATCGCTCTTGCAATGATGGTAAAATTGTATGCGTAATGTGTGTTTAAAAAGCTTTCCAAATACACAGTTCAGCATTCATTTTGATAGTTAGGTCGTATATTACCAGCTGTCTACATGCAGACCTAGTTTCTATGTTTTTAACTGCAGGTAAAAAACAAAGTGATCAAAGGGCATTTTAATGTTGTCCTTAATATCTTGATATATTAAATACAGTGAAACCTTTTAATAGGACACTTTAATTTAGGCCTACATGTTGTTTGTTATTTTTGAGCTGTATATAAAAAAAAATATGAAATATACACGAAATCATATTAAATACGAATGCATCAATTTCTGTAAGATTACTTTCACAGTGTCACACATGTATACTTGGTATATCTACTCTGTGACACTTGATATACATGTATACAGTTCTCCTTTGTTTTAACAGTGAAACATGAACTGCTTTCAATAGTCCTATTGTGGTGTTACATCCTTTCACACTTCCCTGTCTTCTATATAATTGCAACATTTTATTTTAATCCTTTTTTTTTAAAAAGTTTTTTTAACAATATAAAACATATATAACTTTATTAAGTTATTTATTTTGTTTGAATTAGGTGAGGGCAGCATCAATGTCATTTTAAAATGACATTCATATTGTGGTGTATTAATTTGTCAGGGATGGTTTTCAACAAAATTAGTTATGATTAATTGTGGTCAGAAATGAATAGTACCAATCAAACTTTTTTTTTAAAAATCAATACCAATGCCCACCACTTTTTATAGCCTTTGCTTATAATTCTCTTAAATATTGTACAGAATAATGAACAAAATCAATGTCAGATAAAAATATCCTGATTTTAAGTAATATCTTGTACTTGCACACAGGGAAGTGAGAGAGAAAAAAATCAATGTTGAAATTTGATCAATGTACAAATATTTTATTTCAAGTGTACCACATGTTTCATGTAGAATAGGTGGCCTGGATACAATTTATTTGCTGTGTTTCACGTATCTGTTGCCTTAGAATTTTTTTAATTTTATCAGTTAAGCTGACATTGTTTAATGGTCACTTATGATTATAATATAATATAACCAAGGGAAAGCGGTATGCATAATTATCTCTGATAAGTTACTTTTCAGATTAACGTTTTATTTTCCTGTTTGTAAAATGTCACTTTTATTCAGAAGATACAAGGTATTCCACTCTCTCCCACTTGTACATCTATGTATGAAGCAGGGTTTATCATACATCCTGCCACTGTGCATACAGGTCTTTTTAAGACTTTTTTAGGATTACATATAATATATGTGAAAGTAGGTGTCCCTTTTGGACATACACACACATATTTTTCCTTTGTGTACTCTCCACCTCCCCACCTCACCCCACTCCCCCTATTTTCCACATTTACGTTAATAAGGAAACCTATGGCCAGTTACAGATGATGCTCTTATTTTGCTTTCCCCTAAGAATTTTTATAACCAGCCGTTCCTATTTCTATGAGCAGAAAAGACCTCTGAAAGATTTGGAGAAGAAGGAAATAGCGTTTGCTGTGATATCAATACTCAGTTCATTGGGTGCCATAGGCCTGGCCATTCAACGATTAGCCACCACCAGTAATGGGAATCCAGACTTCACATTTGCTCTCGTCATCATTATTAATGCTGGTACACAGAAATGACAGTAGTTGAATACTTTATCAAAATATTTACTAAACAGAGTCTTATTTCACTGTATTTTATTCCTTCAATTTGATTATATATTATTAATTTTTTTATTTAGAATCTTTTTGTTATCACATGCACCACACAAAACACTGTAGTGTCAGATCAAAATTAGTATAAATTTTTATTAGTGTGTCATTCCAAACAAACATTTTTTTAGGATGGCCTTATGTTGAATGTTCTTTTTATACCTCGGTATTAACATGGATAAAGTGTGTCTTTCGAATTCTGTGATGCGCGATTTACTTGACAGTACAGACTGCAAAGTGAACAATTATAATTAATAAATGAAATCTATGTCATTTCAGTTTTTTGTATGTATTACGTTTTTCACGGCCTCCTTGCGGAGCGACCCTATGAGATCATCGTTATGGTGTTAGCGACCATCGCTGTTACGATTTATGTCATCGTTAATTTTATTCTGGGTCCCAAAAAGGATGTCAAAATTGTAAGTATTTAATCTACTGTAGTAAGAAACAGTTTTTACAAAGCGCATGTTTGGATGCTTGCGTAGTCCGAAAACCAAACGATGTTTATCAAACAACACTTATATTGAATCTGGTTTGAGATTAACAATGATTAAAGAAGACGTATCCCAACCCTACCCCTTTGGTCCAAATCTTTACATATCTAGATCCATACTTTAAATTTTCATTCAGAAGGGCAAGGTGAGGGGTATATGTATCATCTCAAAAGTATTTGTACATAATCATGATAATTGTGTTTTTTATTTGCCGTAATTTTGCAAAGCTTTTTTTCTGATAAATTACCAACATGGTGTACGATGTTACATGCACAGGATGATAAATTATCATTTAAAGCCCTATTTACACGATCTGATTTGTAAGTTATTACATCTTACAAACATGGTTTACGATGTACAGATATGAAGTCAGATGGAGTCAGATGGAATAGAAACATGCTTATTAAGTTGTTTTAACCAATCATTGACAAGGTCAAAGAGGTTGATCTATATAAAGAAGAAATAACATGTGAATTTTTCCCGCACTTCTTCTCCAAAGATAATTCAATATCAAATAATCTTATTTATTGCAATTAAAATGTGGGGGACACATTTTCTATTGGCTGGAAAGAGAGAATTTAACTACAGAACAAACTGAAAGATTAGTAGAACTATATCGAGAAGAAGTAGATTTTTAAAACACAAATGACTATTAAATTATCATCATCTTCCATTGTGAAATGTAAACAAAAAAATTTTTAGGGGAAACATTAATGAACTTCATGTCTGGCAAATCATACTGTGTAAATGAAACACTAAGATGTGAAATCACATCTGATTTTATAAAAATGGAGGGCTTTATTGTTTCAAGGTAAAATCAACAATAAATTCTGAATACGTATAAATTGTTCCAAGTTGAACATTTAGAAATGGAATTAATTATAATGAAGATGAGAGAACTGACCTGCTGACAATTGTAGGCTCGATTGGTGCTCGTATGTCTTTTGAGTCCTGTCATCGTTGTGATGGGGTGTATTATCGCCAAAGAGTACCACGATTCTGGGAGACTGATTTTCCGGATGGTGGGCGCTGATTCCACTCTACAAGGATTCTGTAAAAATCTCTTCTTGTTCCTGGGTTTGCAGAAGTTTGATCTACAACTAAATGTAAGATGACAAGAAATTATTATGTCTTGTAAAGAAATGGAATTAGAATTTTTAAAAATCACAAGTTACTATGTGTATAAGGTTTCATCTCACAGACATTTTTATGTTATAATTATTTTCATACCGGTATCGTGCTTCATTTTCTTCTTTGCACTGTTTTTTCTCAAATGGATGGAGCTAGCTATTGTGACTTTTCAAGCCCCGCATTTACCTGTTTACATCTCTAAATACTGTCATATAGATATTACTTGTTATAGGTGACGATGGTGCTGTTAATTCTTCAGTCCGGGACTAAAGTAGACACAGAGGACATCGTCATCATAGCCGTCGGAGTTCCGGTCACCATCGCGTGTTTTGCTCTGGGTTACCTCAGCGTAAGCAAAATACTAGCATTTGATGACGCTGAATTTGTTTTGAAAACAAAATGAAATTCGTGGTGCTAATTTACGTAGATCTACTTTTTATTTAGGTTCGATGGGAGAACAAAAAGCTGGGCATTATATATGCAGTGTCGCTGTTACTGGCTCCAGCGTACATAATATACAAAGTATACGAGGTAAATGAACATACCTAGCATCAAACTGCCACCAAAGGGCGAGCTACACAAGCTGTAGTACGTCCCCTGATATGGAATATGGAAAGGAAGTTCACTATTGCACCATCGACTAAAGGGTTGATGCGCAGTAGTAAGATGGCGCGATAACGACGAAGCGTGATTGTGCGATGGCGATGAAGCGATAACTCAGTGGAGCGATAGGGAACATTGCTTCATAACCATGTGTCATTCCTATCGCATTTACACACTTTCCCTTCATTGTTTCATCGTCATCGCATTGTCGCTTCATTGCATCATCGTCATCGCGTTATCACACCATCGCTTCATCGTATCAATGTATATTATCGACCACAGCCTCGATGGTGTGATGATGCGAGGTGAACTTTATGGCCTTATCCAGATTCCATAGATGAGAGTTTGTATGATGTTTAATGTTCCTCTCAAGAATTTTTCACTCATATGATATGGAGATGCCGGTGGAGAGCTGCAATATTTTTTCTTATACTCGGCACTTACGGCGATTGAGCAGTAAGGGATCTTTTTCGTGCCAGCACCTACTGCGGTACCTCGGTTACCGTATGTTCTTATTTAAAGGACCGGTCTACATGCCCCGCAGTGGGATTCGAATCTGTGATCAACTCCTCACTCCGCCACTCTAGAGCAAACGCTTTAACCACTGAAATTGAATTTTTAAATTAGTCATCACAGTCACTGAAATATTATTCTGTTTATCATTTTGTGCGTTTTAATCAAGTTTATCATTGCTTAATTTTTCTCAAAATGTATTAAAGCTTGTTCACCTGATTCTTTGAATTTGTTTTATTTTTAATTCAGTCTGCTGACGATTTGGCAAAATTCTCAACGACACAATTTCAAAATGGAACAACAACATCACAACAAAACTCGGCTCTTTCGGGAACAACATTTACAAGCGCAGGATTAGCTCTGTTGATTCGAGTATTGATGGCGATATATTTTGTAAAAGCTGTCCTGAATTTTGGTTATGGACTAAAATACAAAGGTAGGAAATGATTTCGATTTGAAGGAATTTTTCTGATTTCAATTTGTTGATCCGACGATGAAAATAATTTAATAAGTTATAGTTTTTTCTTTACATTATTTATGCACCATGAAGAACTACATTAAATAATAGTTTTCCCCTGCTAATCTTTGTGTGTATCGTTATCCTACGGTTTGAACCCCAACTTTGTGTCGTGTATTATCACACAGAGCCACATTTAGTTTGTCTGTCTGTCCTATCTGCTGCTCCATCACATTTATCATGTATCTTGACAACTCGGCCAAAACCGTTGTGTTAATTAAGGAAGACTATCGTGCAAAGCTGTATGGAAATGAAAACCAACCTTTTTTCTACACAATTTTTTACAAATCGTATTCCTTTTCCCTTGTTTTAGAAACAATTCCACCAAGGTTAAGGACCTTTGACAAAACACTTATCTCCTTTGTGGCCATTTTTTGTGTAAAACAAGTCTGTATTCCAGAGAATCTTGGTCAGATGTGCTTTGTACATTGTAATAAGTTTTTTTTTCTTCAATATTTTATGGTGTCCGGATAGGGCCATTTGCGTTAGCGCGACATCGCGTTCAGATAAACGAGACATCGCGCTAACACACAACACGCCGTCGCGCCAACGCAACTTTGCACAACACGCCGTCGCGCTAATTTGTTTGCACAACGCGCCGTCACATGCTAACACACAATTACGCCGTCGCGCTACAAAACTTTGCACAACACGCTGTCGCGCTATAACACAACTTTGCACAACGCGCCATCGCGCTGACACACAACGCGCCGTCACGCTTACGCACAACACGCCGTCGCGCTAACACAACTTTGCACAACACGCCGACGCGCTAATGGGTTTGCAAGTTTCACAGTATAGAAAGAAGTATGTGTATAAGTTTGTTTATGCTTAACCATATAATGGATGAAATTCTGGATGAGATTGGTCATTGGGAATGTTAAATCTAAAGTTTAAACTTATCAGTATTTTTTTTTAATTTGTTATAACAAATTATTAATTTGTTATAACAAATTATTAATTTGTTTAAACAATAATTTTAATGTTGGCTGGTGTTCGTTTCGTTTTAATGGTGTTGGTTACAAATTATTAATTTGTTATAACAAATTGATATTTTGTTATAACAAATTGATAATTTGTTATAACAAATTGATAATTTGTTATATCAAATTTGTTTAAACAAATAATTTGTTATAGCAAATTACTAATTTGTTTAAACAAATTGATAATTTGTTTTAACAAATTACTAATTTGTTTAAAAAAATTGATAATTTGTTTAAACAAATTGATAATTTGTTTTAACAAATTACTAATTTGTTTAAACAAATTGATACTTTGTTTTAACAAATTACTAATTTATTTTAACAAATTGAAAATTTGTTTTATCAAATTACTAATTTATTTTAACAAATAACTAATTTGTTTAAACAAATTGATAATTTGTTTTAACAAATTGATAATTTGTTATAACAAATTGATAATTTGTTATAACAAATTAATGATTTGTTATAACAAATTAAAAAAAATACTGCTGCGGCCCAAATACGCTTCCGTAGCATGCGCAGTCTTATATTTCCGTACACGACTTCCTACTAGACTGTGAAACGTACAAAGTTGCGTTAGCGCGACGGCGTGTTGTGCAAAGTTGTGTTAGCGCGACAGCGTGTTGTGTGTTAGCGCGACGGCGTGTTGCACGTGCGCGTTGTGCAAAGTTGTGTTAGCGCGACGGCGTGTTAATTGTGTGTTAGCGCGACGGCGCGTTTATCTGAACGCGATGTCGCGCTAACGCAAATGGCCCTATCCGGACACCATAATATTTCTTTATTAGTTTATCAAATATCATGTTTATAGTTTGGGTCAGGAGAGACATGTATATATTTTATAGCAAAACTTTCCTTTCAGAAATACTAGTATTTCCTTACCACAGCTTTAATCAATTTGTTTACAAGTAGAATCTAGCCATTCACACCCAAGTAGAAATTACTGCTACTTACAAGTGCATGCAGTACATGTAGATATTACTGAATTTAGTTTAAAATAATTTATTCTGCTTCTGAAGTGTATGGGGACCGCAGCAATCTTCACGTCAACTCGCACCCTACGTATAACGCCATAGATGACAGCAGTTAATGGGTTTGTTTATTTAGATGTATAGACGTGTATGTGTATGGGTTTGTTTATGTACATCTATAGACGAATATAAGGTATGTGTTACATTAAAAGTTTAAATCTAAAGTTTAAACTTATCTATTACATGTATTATAATAACTAGAACTAAACTTTAGATTTAAAACTTTTAATGTAACATATGTTTGGTGTGGCTGGTGTTCGTTTCCTATTAATGGTGTTGGTCGTACTAAGTTGCATGAATAAATCTAATCAAATACATGGCTCTATCACAGTTAACTTTCACTTACATTTCATATCATTTGTAGAATTCTACGTCACCGAGAAAGTCTTTTATTTGTCTGCTGTTTTGCTAAAGACACCTTACTTCGTTTAATATAATTGTAGTAATATTTTGCTAAAACTGTACATTACTTCGAGTATTTATCATGTTTATAATTGTAGCAAAATTTTGTTTTGTTATCTGAAGAGTATATTTCAATATTTCCTGTCTTTTTTAATTTATGCGCCTGTAATCCAAAATTCGAGGGGTATATACTAAGTAGTTTTTGCCCTGTCCGTCCATCTGTCTGTTTAACTGTTAGTCCATTAAAACTTTAACCTTCAATGCTTATAAACTTTTGATTGGTCTGATTATGGATTTAATATTTCACATGTGTATTAATTATTACAAGACCTTTATCTATGTATAAGTAAATTTGACCTCTTGACCTTGGAGTTTGATCCATTTTTGAAAAAAAAAAATTAAATCAAATTTTAAATTTGGCCATAACATTTATACAGTTGCTGCTTACCATACTTCATTTGTATATTTATTCTAATAAGACCTTACTTTCCTATAAATATTCTTGATTTTTTTACCTTGACCTTAAAGTTTGACCCACATTAAAGAATTTAACCCTAGCCTTAACTCTTGAACAATTAGTACTAGGGATTTTATATTAATCATATGTATTCGTCGTGACAAATATTTATTGGACGTGTCCTTTTCCTAGGTTTCATTGATTTTTTACCTTGACTTTGACCAACTTTTTAAAAACTAAAAGCGACCATAACCTTTGAACGGTTGGTTCTTTGGCTTATATATGTCACAGATATATTACTGAGACAAGTCCTTTCTTAGGAAATGACTTGTTTTCATCCCTTGATCTTGATCCCGGAGTTTAACTTGCATTTGAGAAACTTTAACCTTTACCATAGGCTGCCATACGGGAGCATCGGTGTTCACAATCAGATCTTGTTTTTATTTTATGTTGTTTCAACTCTTTTATCTAAATGAGTTTTTACACCGTATGTATTATGACTGGTCGTTCTGTCGACTTGTTCACTTTTACAAACATCTTTAAATCTCATTGATTCAAATTGTAAAGACATGTTAACAAATCAGTATGATGATAGAACTTTTGATCAGTAGTTATGTAACATGCGAGCATTACTTTAACCACCTTCTTTCGTAATGTTGCAGTATACGGCGGGACGGAGCCACCGAGTAAGGAAAACGAGGCACCACCTCAGGCAGCTCAACCGTAACCACAAACTGTCACCACCTCCTGGGGGGAGAAAAGGGGGGGGGGGGGGTAGATCGAACATATCAACTCCGGGAAAGGACGATTCTGAAATTTATACCATGTTTGTACAATGTTGACAATGAAATCCATCATGAACTAGTATCATTTTTTTTTCTTTTGGAAAGTGATTAGTGCTTTGTTTTTATGTCACTTTTTTACGTGTTCTCTGGAGACTTTATTTAAATTTGTCTTTACAGCAGCTTCGTCAGATACCCCGGATTTCGTCTTTTGGGTACACATTTTGAGTTTAAGACAAGTTCACCCTTGGGTAACTGACGATGCTTCAGTACATATCTTTCTTTCTTCGCGCTTATCGCTGTCTTAACCGGTGTTATTGCATAGGAATTGATCACTGCTATATTACCATTGTGCTGATGATATCAGAATAAAATTTTCCTTGTTTCGTCAACAGATCAGATAATCAAAATTGTTACGTATGAAAGCTCTTTTTTATACAATGATTTTATTGTGTCATGAATATGTGTGTATTTTAATATATTATTAAGTAATTTGTGAAACAAATTGATATAATAAATTTAATATATTTTTGTCAAGAAAAGTTATTTTGATCTATCTCCTATTTGTCTTACCAATTACTCAAAGGTTACGCCTCATGAAAGACGCTGTACATAAGGGGCAAAACTCCAAACACCTTCTTTTTTAATGTTCCCATCGGCCACGGTTCGGAGTCCACTCAGAGCTATCTCCCTCCTGTGGCTGCTTGATCACATAAATGGTCGTAATCTTGAATGTTTACGGCCCGTGTGCTGTGACGTTATGTTCAGCCAATGACAATTTTTTTTATTAGCTACGTAATTTTGACCGTTGTTTGCGACGATGTAATGTCTCCTGATTCAATGTAACTTGGAGATGATGGTAATGTGCAAAAGATAAGTAAAGAGCTAGGTTCTTTTTATGCATAAAATGGCCCTGTCCTTATATCAATCATCCTCTTTCCCATCTTATATATCAAAATAAAGTAGAGACTTAGTGCATCATTTCTTATAGGAAAATTTCTTTTTGGAGAATCAGAGTGGAGAACAACCTTTGAGAAAATGCAATTTTCTTGAATATTGCAGAAAACACACGCATTTGACTACCTTCAGCAAAGGATTAAAATATGTGCACAGCCCAGGATCCAATTATTCTTCAGAAACAGATCTTTCATTATGTAATGGCATATTCTGGATCAGAGGTTGTGCTCTATATGAAATATTAGAGAGGTTTAGTTACACGTTTTACGAGGAACTTGTACGGGTGACGTCATTAATTGTTTTGTTCTTCGAAATCATGACGTCAAATCCGACGTGTAGCAACAAATTTAGAACGTGTAATACACTGTGTACACGTACGACATAAACGTGTAAAATTATCGAATAAATTCTATATTTACTGATTCAGTTGATTGATTTTATGCTATAAAACAAGAACTTAAGGCTATTTTTAAAGGAATTTACAGGATATGGGAAAATGACGCATTTTATAACGTCATAATGCATTGACTAGATTGAAAATTACGTCATGTTCAATAGATACATGGTAAAAAACAGTCCAAGTGATAAATACTGCATTTTCAATCAAGATTGGGCAGTTTTGATTTTTCAGAAATTCACAGGGCCAAAAAAGGTCTTAAGTGGCTCTTGCTCTTTGTAATATTTTTTTATCTATAAACATTTATGCAACATATTACAAGTATATTCACTAAATAAGTTTGTCAAATTAATTCCAAAATGGAATGGATGATTGACGTTTACTTTTAAGCCAATGCGGGATGGGTAGTTCTCTCCTAAAATACTTCTGTTGTTAGTTTTAAATGTATTGTGACGTTAAATTGTTTGTGACGTCACAATCAATAACTAGCATTTATCAATTTGTAGCTAAAAGATGCATTGTGACGTTAAATTGTTTGTGACGTTCACAAAACTAACATTCATCAATTTGTTGCTAAACGCCAATTTTCAAAAAGAAGGCAATCATGATTGTGGCAATGCATCTATTTTTCTTATCTGTTCAGTGGGCTTATGGATTGATGTCCGCTAAAGATAAAGGTAATTTTAAAAATTATATACTTAAAAAACAACATTTGTAAACTCCAGTCATTACACACTAAAGAAACGTTTTTGGTTTTGACAATTTTTAGTAGTGAAGGGGATACACCATTTAATTAAAAGGATTATGTTTTGGTGCAAACTTCCGAAACCGACAATTTCTCGTAACCTTTTAATCATGAAAAGTAATGCAACTGATTTGAAATTCAATAAATGTTTTATAATAAAATAATTATGTTTTCGTTTTCAAGAAACCAAGACCGATGTTAAACCAAAACCTGTAAAATATCTTATTCCTCCTGTTGCATAAAGAAGTCTTCATGAATTACCACCCGATCTGCAAATAGTGATCTCAGCACGAAATATCACTGAACAACGATTAATGATAGCCTCGAAAGGAATAACAAATCAGATTGTAACAGCAATTGCAAATAGTGCTCAGCAAGAATACTAGTAACCACTCGCATTGTACCAGTATCTACGTATTGTGCTCTCAGGAGAAATAGCCCTCAGATTGTATCAGCTACTGCGATAGTGTAATTGCTCACGTCGAATCAGCTACTGCTAAAAGTGGTATCAGTGAGAATGACAATTCACATTGGATCAACTACTGCTAAAAGTGGTATCAGTGAGAATGTCAATTCACATTGGATCAGCTACTGCTAAAAGTGGTATCAGTGAGAATGACAATTCACATTGGATCAGCTACTGCTAAAAGTGGTATCAGTGCGAATGACAATTCACATTGGATCAGCTAAACTGTTCAAGTGTTGTCAGTACGAATGACCACTCACACTTAACTACAAATGACCACTCACACTGGATCAACTGCTGTAAAAAGTGGTATCAGTAAAATGACCACTCAACTGGATCAACAACTGCTAAGTATGGTGTCAATACGAATGACCACTCACACTGAATCACCTACTACTAAAGTGGTATCAGAACTAACGGCCACTCACACTGGATAAACGTCTGCTTAAAATGATATCGGTTCGAATGTCCACTTACATTGGATCAGCTACTGCTTACAGAGGTTTCACTAAGAATGACCCTCACCTTCGATCTTCTACTGCTAAAAGTGGTTACACGGGTATCAGTAAAAATTAGTGTTGGCAAATCGGACGATTTTTAGTAACCGGTTACTCGCTCAATCTTCCGATCGAGTACCCGGTTACTCGGATGATTTATTCATATGTATCATTTATCTCATCTTTTACTCATCAGTTCTAATAAAACACAAAGGTATTGTGAATTAACTTTATTTATAAACTTAGAAAGAACACGCACGCAATATCTTGAATTTTAAATATAATTATAATAAAAAAAATTAATTAAATCAGAAGAAAAATAAATATTCAATGTTTCACGCTATTTTACATGGCGTTCATCAGTTTAACTTTTCAACCCCCGATACATGTCATGATCAAGGAGAATAATTATTTAGAAATTTGAAGTTACGATAACTCCAATTCACATTAATTACATTTTACAGGTATAGAATCAGCTGGGTTTTTTAAAATACTTCCAAGCTTTACATGTCTTTGGCGGCATGTTTTTACATTATTTAATGAGGTAATTATAACTTTGGTCTTCAAAACTTGTATAACCTGCTGGCAATCCAATTAAGCTATCAATTAAGTGTGAAAACCAATCAATCGTATTAGTGAAACCATAGACCATTAAATCTAACGGTAAAGAAAATTAGAGAAATGTTTATTTGTACGCTTATAAACAAATTAACATTTTATTTTTTAGTTATTAACCATATAAGATGCATTTTATCCGAGTAACCGAATAGCAATTTTACTAACCGATACTCGCATCGTTCGAAACCGGTTAACCGGTATCAACACTAGTAAAAATGACCATTCACATTGGATCAACCTCTGCTTAAACAGTGGTATCAGTATGAATGACATCTCACTTGTGTTGAACAACCACTTCCAATTATGGCACCGGTATGAATGGACAACCCATTGCAACATCGTACCAGCCCAGCCCAGGGTCGTACCGGTATTTTCCCCTAAAACATGATACGTTGTAAACATGTAACACCGTGTCTTATTAATACAAGGCCTCGGTCATCATGAGATATCGTTTATCATCATATATAGAGAGCTCCAGCGACAAAAAGTATGGAACGCCATGGCTGCCTTATGTTAGATGATTTTATTATATGCTGTGGTTCTATAATTAATGCTAGTTTTTTTATATGCTGTGTTATATATATGCTTTTATTATTATATGCTGTGTGATAATATTGTGGGTCTTTATTATATGCTGTGGGTTTATAATTAGAAAAAATAATTTAGTCAGCTAACATAAGGCAGCCATGGCGTTCCATAAAAAAGCATCGTGCCATTCTATGGTCATTCTGATTATTGCTAACATTAGAATGTATATATAGTTCTTATAGCATTCAAAAATATGAAGAGAAAAAATAGTTTATTTACACATACATGTATATTATGCATGAGTAATGAAAATGATTTATATACACATGCATATATATTGAAGCGATTTCTCTAGTATTTACAGATGAATACTGAATAATAAAGCAAATAAATTTATGCAGTTTTTTCGTTTTTTTAAGTGACTTTTCCGATTTTTGAGTGGTAGGTTATTTTTGTAATGAATCAACAATTTCTGTTAATTTGTATTTGGAGGGGCGGAGATAAACAATTTTCCTAAAAATATCTTTGAAAGGGAGAAACGAAAGGAAATTGCTCGAAAATCCTAATACTGGTATTTTTTTTTTTTATTTATACAAAATTTTATTCACATAAGTGAATGGGATTGGGCAGCAGGCAAAGCCTATTTTAGCCCTCTCCCTTCAAATACTTGTATTTGAATACATGAACATAGGAATCTTTGGATACCCACGGATGATCTCGTTTTTTCTTATCACAATATATTTGGTATATAGAAGGACATGACTTTTGGGCGGCACGAACCCTGAAACAGAATATATTAGACTATGTTTGTCTGAAATTTGGTGTTGGGGACTTCGGTAAGGTTTCGAATTCCTATTGGAGACTTCGGTAAGGTTTCAAGTTGGAGTCTTTGGTTAATTTGGGTTTGGGAGATCATGGTTAAGTTTGCTTTTGGAGACTATGATAAGTTAAGTGTTTGAGATTATGGTTAAGTTTAGTGTTGAAAAACCATGCTTATAAGTTTGGTGTTGGAATCTTCTCCTTTCCTGTTACAGATTTGGTGCCGTTGACCACCCCTGGTGAAATTCCTGCCAGGTAGTAATAATTATAGTGACTTGGGTAAATTGTGTCTTCGGGCGACGACCATTTTAGGAGGGAGGAATGTTATGGTTTGGGCAGTGGATATCGGCCTGGATAGCTCAGTTGCCGAGTTGGTAGAGCCCCTGACTGGGTTCGATTCCTGGTCCAGCCATACATGTCATTTTCTACTTTCCTTTTAGACCTGATTAAATCCAGTCCTCTTCTACTATTTCGACAACGATAGGCCAAGAAGGATATGTTTTAATCAGACTCACTGTAAAAGTTACATAGACCTTTAATACATGATTTCTGATTGAAGTGGCGAGTATTTTAAGAACGAGTTATTTTAAAGTCCAAAATGGCGGCGCCCATGAACCACGAGAAAAATGAAAACAAAGTCATTAAAAGTGTTTCGAAACAAAGCAACGAGAAGCGATTGATAGTTGTTCTTGAAAGAGCTTCTTTAGAGTCAGTTAAGGTATGACTTTTCCCATTTTACATGTAGTTTTAAACAGCGATTTTATCAAAATTTGCTTTATTGCGTTCAAAAAGCACAATTTTTCAAACCTATTATAATGTGTTTTAAAAGATTTTTTTAAATAGTTATAAACCCCCATTTTTCAGGTTGGAAAGCAGTTTGAATTGCTAAACTGTGACAAACACAAAGGTTTGGTTTATTTCTCTCTGCGTATAACCCATCAGGTAAAGAGCATTTTATAATACAATTTTTCAATATCTATTTTAATGTGTTTAAAAAGATCTTTTTTCTAAAAATAGTTATAAATCCCCATTTTTCAGGTTGGAAAGCATATAAAAGTTCTTTGAATTGTTTTAACTCAGAAATAAATCAACTGTCAAACACAAAGGTTTGGCAATGAACATGAAAATTCTATGTACAAAACCAATCAACAATCATGTATTTACCTTGATTATCAAAAGTATTCTAACTGGAAAATATTTTTCTAAATATTAAAATCGAGTTAACCCTTCAAATGCATTTTTTTAATAAATGAATTTAATTGTATTATTTTTAATCCTAATACATTTTTTTTAAATTCTGCATACTGCAGTTTTTTTTGTTGTAATTGTTTTAAAAATAATTTATATTCTTTTTTTTATGATGAATTGTTTTATGTTTCAAGTTACATTTACACGACTGTGAAGACACATAGAAATAGAAAATATGATAGAAGCTAGGCTTTGTAAATACCCCTGTAAATTTTGTTCTGTTATCAAAACGAAAAGGTGTTGATTTTTATTATATTGCATAAAATATAAATTGAACAGATTTGCAAAATATCAACGTACTGATATCTAATCATTTAAAAAGAAATCCATGTAATAAATTGCATTATATCTGATATTTTTTTTTTCATGTAATAAATTGCATTTAGATATTTTTTCCCTATTTCCAGTGTCTGTTGATGTTGATGGACAGTCCACTGAACAGAGCGGGACTTCTACAGGTGTATGTTCACACAGAGAAAAATGTCCTCATAGAAATAAACCCCCAGACAAGAATTCCTCGAACATTTGACAGATTCTGTGGTCTGATGGGTAAGAATGTAAAGTAAAGAAATGAATTAATCAATGACATACACACATTTGTCCATTACACTGAAATATTTTCTACAAGGTATTTGTGTAATATGTTTGCATTTGCTTTTACAGTACAGTTATTACACAAGTACAGTATACATGCAGCAGATGGGCCTCAAAAACTATTAAAAGTAAGCATTGAGTCTTCAATATTGCTCCTTTATATGTAATATATATGTGCATGTTTCTTTCAATGTACATATCTTGATGATTGAAATCTTTGCAGGCTAACATAAGTTTAAATATTTCATTCACACAGGTGATTAAAAATCCAGTAAGTGACCATTTGCCACTTGGTTGTAAGAAATATGGGACTTCATTTCATGTTGAAAAAGTCACAGACCCACGTGAAATTGTTCCTGAAAAAGAGCCTGCTGTTGTTGTTATCGGGGCTTTGTCTCATGGCAGTGTAAGTAACATTTAATTTAAAATCTTATTCTCCTTTACATAAATGCAAGTATTTGAGAGATAACCAATATTACTTCCATTGTATTCAGTAGTAAGACATACAGAAAATCATGTCATTTCTATTTAATATTTTGTACTAAGCCCTCATTCTTTGACCCACATTTTCAGCATATAATCTGGGTCACTTTCTTGTAAGACAGATCCCCCTGTTTATTTGATTTCCTTATTCTCCACCAGGTCGATGTTGATTACATTGAGGACACAGTCTCCATTAGTAGTTACCCCCTGTCAGCTGCATTAACCTGTGCCAAGATCTGCTCAGCGTTTGAAGAAAAATGGAATGTAGTATGACCTTGGCTGTCAAGGTCATCTCAGCCTGCTATCCTGGAGGGTATTTGCCTTTCTGTTATGTAACAGTCATTAATCTTAGGACTTGACCTTGGAGAAAGACGACCTTGGCCCATCAATCAGTCTGCTGATAAGCATTTTCTATACAACAAACTTATGTATATGAGGCCCTGGAATGTTAAAACTTGTTATTTATGCAAGAAACTCTTTTTGCTACACTTTGAATCAGATATTTGCCATGGGATATCATAGATATTTTAATTCAAATGTATCTGATCCCCATTTTCTAAAATGTGCAAAATTGCGAAATATTTGTTGCAGAATTAAAGTAGATTGTAAAGTATCAACAAACACATATTATGCAGCAATATACTACATAATTTTTGGATATGTGCAAAGTTTATATAAATCAAATCTGCAGCAAGAATCATAAATCTGTGCCTTGTTATCCGCAGTAGTGGTATAATATGAATATTTCGTGAAAGATTTAGAAATTTTATTTGATAGCGACAAATAGTAAGGAAAGATGTTCATGTTTGCATTCATCATAAGACCACAAGTTTTTACTCTACATTATGAACACTGTTACATGTATTTATTTTTAGCTTGTTTTGTTTCAGTTAGATTTTATTTTTGTTTCTCTGATTCCATTGGTAGATGGTTAGACATTTGTATCCGACTTAAAGAATAATCAAGTAGGACCTGTCATTAATGTAACAAACACAAGTTTCTTCTTCAAGATCCCTGCCTCAAAAAAGGAAACTAAAGTTATGTTAGATTTTTGATGCACAATGTCTTTTTCATATCTTTTCTTTTTTTTATTTTTGTTCTGTTTAAGAGTTTCTAGAACTTTGAATTCTTGGTAGTACATGTATAAGTTTGGTTTGACTTACTCCTGGACCCATGTTCTTAATATTAGAATATTGAAAATGACATCAATTGGGGTTTATGTTTTTGGAGCATTCTATATTTATCAGATGAAACATCACAGTTTGTTTATATTCACTTATGAACATTTCATGAGATGGTTGTTTTCTAATTCTTGATGATTAATATACGATTGTACATACATACAATTCATGTACATGTATGTATGTTTGAATTAAGGTAGAACAAGTTTAAATGAGTAATTTTATTGCAACAAAGAAATAAGTGTAAAAAAATAAATAAATAAGTTAACAAAATGCACATGCTTTTGAGATTCATTGCAAAACATAAGCATCATATGAAATAGCGTTCATATTATAATAAAGCATCATAGTATGTCATAGGTTCGATTCTGGCATACCACGTGACTGAAATATACGTCAGTGATGACGGTCAATATCTATGCTGTGGATGCTGGTATAATCAATTCGGAATCCTCGGAAGTTACTGTTCTGGTCCGAGGTAAAATGAAGCAGTAGTTTATTGCTGCTGAAGTAGATAATCTTCTCTCCGATATTATTCCCAGAAATCCTAAAATCAGAGATATATTGAATGTAAATCAAGATAAGCAAACTATTAAAAACTAATTCCTACTATTCAGATTCAGAAAGAAATGAGAAAAAAAACAATTCAGAACTCACATTTGCCCGACCCTTTCCGGTCCGTACACTCGAATGTCAAGGACATCGTACTCACTTTCCGAATGAAAGTCACGGATAGTAAGTTTTAAAAACTCAAATGGACCCTATCAGCAAAAAAATTGATCCTGAATTTTTTTTTCATATTGAATTATGGATCTTAGCAAAACATACCTACAGGAACATGTGTTCTGTTCATTTCTTTGAGAAAGAATAAAAAAAACAGCATGCTACTCACCTCGATCAACCAATGGCATTCGGCGTTACTATAGTAGTCGTTAGGGTAATTGGGCGAGAGAATTGTTCCGTTTTCTTTCCGAAAAGTTCCACCACAATCTGCCAAAAATATTTTTTATCAGTCTATGAAATCAAAAGTTGCAATTCCCATAGAGTTTAGCTTTGTGTAGTACTCACTTGGTGTAGATGGTGCCACCTCGTCACACGTGAACCCACTGACCCCATAGGGACAAATGCAATTACAGTTTGGTCCAATAAATCCACCGTTCTGACATACAAAGTTTGTTCTGCAGTGCCCTAAAATAGAATTTTTAGTGGCGATGTTTAGAACCGTTTAACTATACGTTACACTGTTAATATAATATTGTCATATGTAATATACTAAGTATACATTTATTTTTCTTGGATGTAAATAATGATGCTTACTATCGCACTGATACGCCTCGTTGGCCAGTTTGATATCTAGGAAGCTTGGTCCATCTCTCTGTCCCATCCAGGACTGAACGAGTGTGTCACGTGCTAAGATAGTCTTGGATTGGCCATCTCTAGAAAATGCCTACAGTGTAAGGGTGAAAGGTAAATAAAAAATAGCCATGTTTGTGTTCCCCACCTCCTCCCAATTAGAGATTTGTATTATCTTATTTACCTTATCACTATAATGCATTAAGGACCCAATGTCGTATGACAAGTCGTAGGTGTAAACTTTCTTGTTGGAATACTTCTGGAAGTTCTTTTCGGTGCCAGGAATGATGTTGTTATCGACAATGAGTATATGTTGATCCCGATCCGACCTAGACTGTTCGTGGACGAATCCAAAGGTGTGTCCGAGTTCATGTGCAATACTACCAGCCTATAGAAATAGTACAGTGCCTCATTTATAAAACCTTTGGTTTCCAAGCTTATAAAACCCAATTATTCTTTTAAATTGATGTGAAGTAGAAGTTTGATATATCGCATACCCCGCATCCGTTCGAGACATTAACAACCTGTTGTCCCCCAATGCGACCAACATTTGATTCACAGCTGAAAAAATTACACACCAGTTTGTTTATCATTGCAGGAACATTTGTTCAGTTTTTATTTTTTATTACCAAGAACCTTCATTTTTCATAGTTTATGACTATATTATACTGTACATTAAAAAGACTTACCCATCGTAAGTTTGTTGAATTATGACATAATCTCGGTATTGCTTTTGGTTTGTTCTAGTACGACCAACAAATCTTATGCATGTTAATTTCTCCCACATATTAATGGCTGTGTTCAAGTCAGAGGATACTGTGAATTCTGATCCAAAAATGTTAATATTATTAAGTACATGTAACCCTAAGTAACGTAAGTAAGGCATCAAAGATTGAAAGTATTCATCAATGAAGTAGCAATTATTAGTTGAACACCAAAAAAGGCAAAAATGATTATTTTTCAAACTATGTCACAATTTTTGTTTTCATTTTAGTGAATATTCTTCATATTTCGGTTAGCAAAACCCAAAGAAAGAATTTTGCTGAGAGAGGTTTTCGCAGAAAAGTTTGGTTAAGTTCCAGTTTTTACCTCTCAATACTAGTAATATGAATTTTTCTCAAAATACTTCATTCAGAAACTGAAAATGACTTGTATTCATTTGAAGCTACAGGCAATTTGTACAGCTTATTCGCCCATTTTCTTTGGTGTTTAGTGAAAAACCGTTCTTCATTTTATCCCTTACCCAGATTTTTGGTCTCAAAAGGTATAATGCCATTGGGCCAGTAATATCTTTCATCCGAGACAATTTTTCGCTTCCTGTTCGGAATCCCCATCCGTCGCCGGAAAATGTCTCTGTTTATTGCCATCCTCTGGGAGGGCGTTAACGTCATATCCGACTCAAAAGTCCATGGTTTGGGGTGCCGCTCGTCGTCCGGTTGCTGTCGCACTATCTGCACCTTAGGTTGGTTGGAACTGCTGTACACATAGCGAGGTGGGCTCATTCCAATGTAGACATTGAAAAAGTTATGTAGTCCAATTCCGGCACCCTGGGGTAGACAAATTTTTCCTCAACATTATGCTTGGCAAATTATTATAATTACAACAGTACATGTACTTCTTTTAAAGTCACTTTCGTTAACTTACCGCCATTGGGGCTCCAGGGGAAAGAGCTATGAATGACAACTGAACTAGAAGAAAAATTAAAACCATGTTGCAAGTCTAATCTTTTTTGGTTTAATAACGATGTCTTGGTGTGTATATATACAGAGTCCAGTAACAGTAAATTACAGTATAATGAGTAATTCCTATGAATGTGAATCCATTCAGGAAAATCTTAGAGACTCGATTACAGTTGGCGGTCTACTTTTTGGTTTCAGTCTTTAAATACCAATACTGCGCCTTATCACAGTGGCCCGGAATTGTCGTCATAATTTACGTTTACGCGCCTCTGTTTGTGTGTGGACGTTGTTTTTGGGTGGAATTAATAATTGATAACATGCTGTAAAGAAAACCTGACGAGCCCTTGGTATGTGGTCAAATAAAAGATTGACTTCCTAAATCAAATTATTTTTCAAATTATTTGTCAATTATCAAGGTTTCTCGAGGGACTTCTTGATAGCTAGGTGTTAGGCAGTGCTGCATAGTGACTGAGGAATTTGCAATGACATACGTTTTACCCTTACAAAGGGGGCACTAAACTCTGTCTGTGTGGCAAATCTCCCAAAAAAATCAGCCTTCCAGAGACAAGACGGTTAAGGCGGCCCCTACCATTATTGACGTCTATGTTGTGTCATGATATTTTCCCATATTTTTCCACACTGTATATAAATTACTTCCAGTCCACAAAGTAAATAAGTTTTACTAATCACTTCAGCACTTTCTTCTTTAAACATGGAATGTATATAACAACAATCCACAATCTCTGGACGTACGGGACAACCCTCCTTAACTGAGGTCCCTGATTCATTCATCTTTAACCTTTTAAAACAGAAGAAAATAAATGAGAAGATGATATAAATGACTTGCGTGGCAATAAAGGAAACGGAAGGGTACGTTCCTGTTGCCAGATCGAAATGAAGTATACGTTTCTTTTCCACGTTTTCAAAAAGTTTGGTACTCATTAGAATCAGAGCTTTAGTAGGATTCTTTATGCATAAATGAAAACTTTTTCGATTGTTCATAAAACTTTGTTATAAAGTTATAAATTCATGCATCGTTTTCAGAGTTTTTAAATTTTTTAATTTATTATATTTTATTTCAACATACAATAACCCATGACAAGTTGATGTATAGCTTGGCAGAAATCACCATTGCCTCATCAAATCGTAAATTTATAATTATAATTATAACTGTGTGATGGATGAATTTATCTTGGCCCTCTTTTAATGCTGGAATCAACTAAATTGTTTTTTTCTCTCAATGTCAAAAAATTCCTTTCATCAGTTTTAGCTGTTTCTTTACAATATTCTAATCCAAAAAAACAAAGAACAATTTGGATTCGTTCAAGTCTTTTTTCAATACAGAGAAGACGATTTATGTATTTTAATCAAGAAACAACGAAAGGAAAATTCCTCTTATCTGTCATGAAGAATTAAGCTTTCGAAGCATAATCAATTCAACATTAGTTTCCTTAACTTTGGACCTGTCTTGAAATACACCCAGATCTTAAATGATGTAAAGTTAGGGAGGAACGTGTTAAACTCTTGAAGAGACACATCATAGTGTTGTAAACGTGACATTGTTCAGAGGAAAACTAATGCGTCAAGATCAGACGAAATACAGTAAAACATGCTTAATGAGAACACGCATTTAGTGAATTGAAATTTACAGTTTATAAGTGATTTTCACTTCCTGTGACTTCAAATATATTGTTACCTTAAAGCGAGTTACCTTAAAGTTAACGGATCTAAAATCATACTGATATAACAAACGAGCAAAATCGTACCTCCCTGGTACTTCATTATAAGTGTGGTTGACTGTACTGTTCAGATGGATAGTCAACTTTTTTAAGCAGGCCAAAATTGCTACCTTAATGTGTGTTACCTTAAAGTTAACGGATATAACGAATTACGCTTATATTACATTAGAGCAAAATCGTACGTCCCTGGTACTTCGTTATAAGCGTGTTTAACTGTATTTGTACAGATGAATAGTTACCGGTTGTAAACAGGCCAAAAAGTTCACAGTTAATTAACACTTCAGTTGCTTGAAAGAGGACATTAAAATGATAGTTTTAGAAGCAGTCGATTCTTTTATTTTTAAACTAGACATTCAGCCAAGCATACGGTGTTTTATATGAAAGCAAAACGAAATCGGTCAATTCAGTTGAAAATTTGAAGAATTGCAAGGAAAAAATAGTTAAAGATTATTCTGTGGAAATTTGACTTTTTTTGAGGGGAAATGCATATTAAAATCGTACAGATACACGTCATATTAGATCCATGTGCCCTTGGGAAAAAACATCACATAATTACATTTACCTTTGTTACATTAAAAGTTTAAATCTTAAGTTTGAGCCAATTTTGGCATAAAATCGACACATTTTTTGTAATATCTAAAAATTTACATCACAGACCTCCACTTTGGTTTTTTTCTTTTCTGAAAATTTAAGATAACTTTGATCAATCTGATTAAATTCAGCAAAAGTTTTAGATTTTAAACTAATTTTCTTGCTTGTTTTTTTTTTTTTCAATGCCAGAAAAATCATTTTGTAAGTGTAGAAAGGTCAAATAATTGATTATGCGAAGCAATTTGAAACTTTTTCTTGCTCACAATTTTAAAGTCTTTTTTTAATGACTAATTTGTTTACTTTGTCCAATGATTTATTTGACTAGTTGGTGAAACATTGGGGGGGGGGCGGAAAAAAATTTTTTTTACTTACCTGAAAAAGTTGACAAGCAAAAAAAAAAAAAAAAAAAAAGGAAACAGTTCCCATGATCCTATTCTGATTCTTTTTTTTAGTGTCAACTATTTTCAGACACAAATTTCACATTACTAAAAGTGCAAAAAACATTTCCTATAGTATAAGTAATTAGCACCAAAACATTAAAACAAGTATTTTGACTTTTAAAAGACAAATTTCAGTGCAAAAAGATTCAGCTAAAAAAAATTTTTAATTTTTTTAAAATTAAGCTATGTGTGTAGAAACTAAAAATATACTTCACAAAAAAGTTTAAAACTTTAAAATATCAGGATATTGTGAACAATGTAATACATGTAAAATGTCCGACTTTTTTCTCGTCCGACCTACCTAACAGCGGCAAGGAGATTGCAAAATTAAAATTATTTCGAGTTCAAATTCCGGATCTTTAAGAATCACCACTGACGAGAAAAAATAAGTTTTTGTTTGGAACAATAATTACAAAAATTACATATACGAAGCAAAGTGGAGCTCTCACCTGCCCTATCGGTATTAATTTATCAAAATACAAAAAAAAAAATCAATTGCGGAATAGTTTATCTGTTTATACAGAGTGTGCGACTTCCGATGTTGATGACTAAAGTCAAGCCACCTGACAGTCACGAATTTTCTAAATGCTTATCAACTAGCTATATTTGCAGACTTATTTTTAAAAGATGAGTTCTTCACATCACAGTAAGTGTGATTTAAATTATACCAGAAGTGGTCGGGCTGTGTCGGTACATGTATTCCATTTTGAGAGGGGGTGGGGCTGATACCATCTGATCATTCATCTAGGATTTTTAAAGAATTCAGATTTCTCCTTTTCTTTGTTTGGTTTGTTTTTGGTTATTTGCTTAATGATATCTGTATATAGTTTGTCTGTAGACAAGACGTTTGTCATTTGCTTATAGCTCATTTGGTAGAGAAGCTGCAGATCTGTAGCATTATGGTTTTATATATTTGTTACGGTCAAAGACAAATATATAAAACCATAACGCTACAGATCTTGAATAATAGCACCTGTCCAAAGATTCATATTTTAAATACATATTTTAGATTTTACAGTGGTATTTGTATTCTTTTGCCAAATTTAATGAGTTTTGTATGTAACCAGCTAAAAACACTGTTTTGCTATAAAGCAGCAACAAAGAACCATTTGGTAAAGTCAGAATGAAATTTTAAATCAGATTTTTTTTTTCTTAAAATTATATGATATATAAAAATTATATATTGTTTTGTTACAAAAAAATTTGATAATGAATGAAATTTCAAATCAGATTTAGTGTGTCTATTTTCCCAATACTAAATTTATTTGGAATTCCTTTTAAAACAGAGAGCACAAGGGGTCAGGAGGAGACAGAGAAACTGAAGAGTAACTTAGAGGAACAGCTGGATCGACTTGTTCAGCAACTGGCAGATTTAGAGGAGGCCAAGTATTTACAATGTCAATTAGTGACACTCCTTGTGAAGAATATAGAGTCAAAAAATATTTTTTAAATGCTTTCAATTTTTCTTCTCTTTTACAAAAATACCAATATTAGATCAGAATCCTCTGTTTGAAGACTTTTAATATTTTGACAGAGAGGACCTGGATGCAGAGGAATATGAAGAAACAAAACAAGAAACAATGGATCAGTTGACAGAGTTTAAGGAATCGCTGGACAATATGGTGGGCGGTAACCTCAGTCTGGTGGATCAACTCAGTGGAATGCAGTTAGTAAGTCATTCATACAAGTCATTCAGAAATGTTATTTTTTCAAGTGCATCTGTTACCTGGTGTGAAATATGTGGAAAGGAGTTTTCAGAAGTCTTTTCATCCATAGCTGCAGAACTGTAGCTCTCTGCTTGAGAAAATTCAGACGAGAGAGTGACTAAAAAGTGGCAGCGTAAAATCAGAGGTTTTTACAATGCTTGGATCTGTAGATCTCTGCTTTATCTGTCTGAATTTTCTCAAACAGAGAACTACAGTACTGCAGCCATTTCAGCCATTGCCATTTTATTTTTGTGATTATTTCTCCCAAAATGGGAGAAGAATTGTCTATCTGTTTAGCAACTCTAGCTATACATTTGTTTTTGGCCTCTCTGCACAATATTAAACTCTAGTACTATTGCACTTTGTATCTTGTATATTATTGTTATTCTTACTTAAGATCAAGTCTTAAAGGGCAAGGTTATCAACTAGTGACAAGGTTATCAAGTGATGACATAGTGAAATGTGGAGGCTATAATTATGGAACACTTTATTAAAATGAGTAGCTGTACTTTATATACCTTGAATATGTTGTTGCAGGTGCCGCAAAGAGTTTTTCATTATTTTGCTTCAAGTTCGTATCTCAGTGAGCCTTACACTGACTATAAGAGGAAATGATTATCTATACACAAACTGAAAATTTAAAATGAATTGAGTTCAGACACCGAAATATTCTAAGGTTGCTGTGGATTTTCCATTTATACCTAAATTTCATTTATTCATATTATAGAATGGATAACCCCCCTTTTCATATCTGCAATATTTGTGACCTGAGCAAATGTGGATTATATTTTATAAAGCATTCATACATTGGTATTTCCTATTGACAGGCCATTCAAGCAGCCATCAGTAAAGCATTCAAAACCCCCGAGGTCATCAGAATGTTTGCCAAGAAGCAACCTGGGCAGCTGAGACAAAGACTCGCTGAGGTAGGACAAGAGAGATAACTCTCTGGAGACTCAGTAACAAGAGTTGTTCTAGTATTGATATCAATTGTACAGTTTTTAAAGAATATTTGTCTCTAATGCAGATAAGAAGAGATGAGAAGGTAGGAAAATTGTTGAGTGATGTTGCCACTCAGCAATCTGTAGAAATTTTAACTGCCCTGAAGAAGCTGGGAGAAAGTCTGACACCAGAGGAGGAGGCTTACCTACAGAACAACTCCAGTGCCAGCCTCAAACAGTTCGAACAAGTCTCAGGGGACTTAGGTCTGTCATCAGAAAACTATATATACACAATACAATTATATTGTACAGATTTTGAGTTTTGAGCTTATGCCAGGAAAGTGCATTTCAACATTTTTTCTGTTCATTTTTTAGAGACTAATAAATATTCCAGTGCCCAGAATCACCATGTAGGTTGTAAATACATTTTCGGAGACAATGTTTACTGTTACTCATTTGTAAATATTTACGAAGTGAATGGTGATACATTCTTGCCATTAATTGATATAACTTTACTTTTCTTTCAGCCTCTGGTGATAAAGTATTAGCAGTAGCTAGCTCTCAGGTGAAGCAAGCATCCAAGTAATTCCTCAGCAAAACAAATACTGCTCACTTCCATTGTGTCACATGACAGGCCACCATTATGTCATAAGAAAAGCTGCCATATTGTCACATGACACTCCATCATTGTGTCACATGACTAGCCATCCTCATCAGTCCCCATGGTATAGGACAGTCTCCTCTGTTCAGCCTTACTAGACTTTTTATGTATCAACAGGTGATTCTCTTGACATACATTTTGTGTGTAACAATGATACCCCATTATTCCCCTCCCATACCCCAAACCAATCAGAAAATAATGATTCAAATGAAAGATGATTTTTCCATATCAATAAAGCCAAAAAACATAATCAATAGTTTCTCAGGCACCGCCGCATCAGTTCAAAAGCGGCCGCATTGATCAATTTTATTGACATATTGAAAAGGGAAATAACTCAATTTTCTATTCTTCCAAGATGAAAAAGAAAATCGAGTTATTCCCCTTTTCATAAATGCTAAGAAAGACGTTTTTATTAGAAAAACAATATATTTTCTTCTAAATCTAAAGTATTTTATCAGTTGACTTTTAAATAAATGTTTGGAATAACATTATTTAATGTTGAATACATATTATAACTAAGAATTAGTAGATATCATTTTACTGCACAAATGATTTACCGGGTACATAAAAAGGTGTAAAACCTGCTTCCAAAAAAAAAAAAAAAAAAAAAAAAAAAAAACTGCCTGCCACATTAAATTTTGAATTTTTTGGCCTGAGAAACAATTAACTTTTTTTGGCCTCAGAAGTAAAATTATTGTAGAGGTTGTGAGGTATTTCATTATTTAAAATTCTTTTGTTCAATAATGTAGGACTAACTCTTACATGGATGGGTTTGTAGATAAGAAAAAAAATTCACAGGTTTGATTTTCACCAACTTTCATAAATGTAAATCAGGACTTTTCAGAATTCTGTAATGCATATTGTAGTTACATGTGTATGTAATATTTCTCAGTAATATTATTTAGTTGTGACGTTGATATTAAGTGCTAAATACATTGATACATGTGCACTGTGATCAAGTGAGCTGAAAATAACTGCTGCATTAAGTATTTGTTAGTGTTTTTATGAAGAACTGTATATAATATATTATTTCATTGTTACAAAGCTAAGTTAAGAGTAATAATCTAGCTTAATAGTACATCTCAGTGACAAATCCTGGCCTGGGGGCTATAAAAGTTAGACGAGCTCACTTTTGATCTCAGACTCACTTTTCCACTATATTCCTTATGGAAAAAGTGAGATTGAGATCAAAAGTGAGCTCATCTAACTTTTATGGCCCCCAGGCCAGAATTCTTGAAAAGGGGGTCCGGCCAGTCAATTTGGGGGCCTAGAGATGAAGCCCTCATAAGTTTATTTGAAATTTTTTTTTTACCTTGAACAAACTATATTTTAAGGTATAATTAATGCAATGTCCTACAATAACAACCAAATTATTAATTCTATGCATATTTTTGGTCAAAATGGGGTATGAGTCCCCCCTCCAACTCCACCAATGCATCTGTAACTTGCTGGGTTTAAAAATTTAGGGATGAATTACCATTTTGATCTCAATTTTTCAGACCAGCAGCTACAGGTCTTTGGGCCTATAATACAAAATAGAAAATCTTTGATCCAAGGCGGAAACACAAAATGTTCCCAGGCCAGATACTGAATGCAACCAAAGAAGATTTTTTACATAAAAATGAGCTAGACATTTATTATATGTATATTGTATTTGTAATAATATTTATTTCTGAAAATAAATATCTTATTTTTACATTTATCTTGTGTAAATCATTCAAATGAATTTCTGACAAATGAAATAGAGAGATAACAAACAATATTCAAACTCAAAAGTTCATTGAATAGAAACAATACAATTCAAGAGTAGACTGCTTCTAAGTAGAAGCCAACTTTCTCAAGGCCAACTTTCTTTCACTTCCAATTTTTTTCCTATATTGCCTTGCTATATATGTACTGTGGTAAAAAGTGGGGGGCCAACCATCTTCTCAATGGACATTTTCTATAGTAAAGCTAATGTTGGGGAAAAAAGTGGGCCCCCCCCCGGTTGCTACGTGCCTGCTGACTGTGTGCTTCTTGTCATGAATCATTGAATGGGCAAATGGAAAAATCCGTAGACAATTCAATGTATGTAAAAATAATGACCTTACATAAAGTTTGAAAAATGTCAGCATTCGACTTGAGCAAAACATGCACTATTATAATTTCTTCAATGGTTTGGACTTTCAGCACAAGTGACAATGATTATGGGAACACACCATTAAAGATTACAATATTCAAGAAATTAGGTTTACTTATTCTCTGACGTCAACAACATCCCAAACTCCAAACTTTCTGTAAAAATCTCCTTTCACACGGAAAGCCAAAGTGTTCATTTTGCCGATTACGTATCTTATTCTATACACATGTAAAGCTTTATCATATAGACTACCCAAAGTAACCTAACAGGCGTAAAATGCAAATACTAAGTTACGGTGTATAATAATTACACCATCCACACAACGTCAGGGGTCCTGAGTCTACGCGTTGCCGTTGGACTCGTGGCATTGCGAGGATGTAAGTACACTTGCAATTTGTGGATACTAGAAAGGTCAACTGAATATGGAACTCTGACTTTTCACACCATTTATCGTCAAATAAAGATAATCTAGCTAACAAGTGAAATGAAGTGATTTGATCTGTTTTCTGTGAGAGTTTTCGCTCTAAAACGATTAACCGACATTATACCGAGTTTTTGCGATGTAGGGGGTGAAGATTATATCGTAGAAAGTGTCCGACTCTTTAGACAGTAAAGTCATCCCCGCGTTTTATTCGGTATTTGAGGAGGCTTTCATTGGTGGAGGGATCTCTGTGGATTGTTATCCCATGACGGATACTGTACAGCCGAGATAGAATCCTAAAGCTCCAGCAAGTTTATCAGTTATAATTATTAAAGCATCCGGGCATTTATTCCCCGAGCGGACAGTGCACAATCTACCACAGTAGATTAGATATGTAATTGAGTTTCAGTGTTTTAGCCTCTGGTCAGTGTAACTACAAAGAAAAACCTTCGTGACGTATTAATGGACTATTAATGCCAATACACACTTCCCAACTTGATAATCTCGTGTATGTATAATGTCAGAGAACACATGCTAAGCTCTCCTCCCGGTGATGGACATGAATCTCGGGTGTTCCCGCGCTTCTTCTCCTGTCGGCTGCTGATGACTTACAAGGGAATTTGATGATGTGTTTTGCACATTGGCACTTCTTTAATGCAGACATGCCATTTTCTTTTGTGCGTTTTATCGTTTGCTGAGATGATTTCTGTATCAGGCGAGTTCCTTAGGGACATCACTATTAATCCAGTATCATACCTCTTATGGTTTATTGCACTCTTTGTTCACAGTGATTCGCGGATGTTACAAAATCAATAACTCAATGTATTTTTAATATATTCGATCAGTGCATACTATTTATGCAAGATATATTACTGTATTCAGCGGCGACTCACACAAATTGGTCCGACCAAAATAGTTCCATCATGATAAGTAGATACAACATTATTATTCATGATAAGAGTAAAGTTGTGTATGTCATACCACAGGAGTTCGCGTACCTATCAATTTTACCGAAATTTTCAGTAAATAAAAAAAAATACGTAATACCTATAATAATAACACAAGGAGTGCAACGCATTTTAGGTCAACTGGGTACCCCTCGCTTAGTATCAAGGCTGTCACACAATCAATCTTCAATCGAAAATTATAAAACACAAACCAATCTTTTTGGAAGGGACCATTCTTTACGGTTCTTAATGCATAAGATTTCAAACTCATGTTTTACAGCAGTAGCGGTGACGTTTCTCCACAACTTCGCTCAAATATCCGTTGTCCGCGACGCCATGACGTGACGTCACGGGCGCGTCCATTTACCCAAAAAGGAACAAAACTGCCTGAAATGCTAATCTAGATGATTTAGGTCATATGCGAAAATAAACCAGAGACAAGTTAGTAGACATTCAAGAAAATTTAAAACGGGGAGTTACAAGTACTTGTGCTTGTATCTAAACGTAATATGGTTATCTCTAGTTAAGTGTTTATGATTGTTTATTTTTGTTCCTTTTGGGTAAATGGACTGCCCGTGACGTCACGTCATGGCGTCGCGGACAACCGTTGCACTCCTTGTGTTATTATTATAGGTATTACGTATTTTTTTATTTACTGAAAATTTCGGTAAAATTGATAGGTACGCGAACTCCTGTGGTCATACGTTAAAGAAATCAAAAATAACGTCAAAATATTATTAGAAAGTCACTTTCCCCCCGAAATGCAAATAAAAAATATCAATATTCCTACGCTCGCTCCCTCCTCAGCCTTTTTTTTTTTTACATGTTTGATAACAGAGAATATTTAGGTCATTCTTCGATTCATATCTTTTCACCGATGAATTGATAATACTATATCAACAATTGTATTAAGTACATGTTTATAGTCCGTTAACTATCATACAATTTCTTCTTAAAGAAAAAATTAATCATTCTGTGTGTGTGTATTATTAAATGACGGAATTTTCAATCCCTGGCCGGATTCTGCTCGTGTGAACACTTTGTAAACTCTGGGGTATGTGTGGCAAAACGAGAACTGGGTTGGGGATTCGGGTTCGTGTTGAAGTTCAGCATACCATTTTATATAGAACTTGAATAATGTGAGTAATTTCTACGACGAATACATTAGTATATTTCAGTAATTTTCAAAACAAAAAAGGTTTTCAGTTTAGAATTTTCCGACCCGGTCCTGATTTTCCTAACCCGGCCATTTTAAACACAAGTTGTTGCAGATGCAAATGTTAGAACAAACTATATATAGTTCAACAGGGATTGTATAATTTTTATTAATCAGAATTCGTATTCATATGATCTAATTAAGAAAAGAAAAGCATTGTCTGCCATCGTAACTTCTCGGCAAAACAAAACGTGTTTCTCCGAGCTCGCTGGATGCGTTTGACAGCTCCATCGCACGTGTGTAGACCAAGTCTAATGTTGGTCTTGCGGACACAGGTATACATCAGGGGCGGATTTAAGGGGGGGCGCACCCGGCGCGCGCCCCCCCTAAAATTGTCAAAGTTAGCGTAAATCAAATATGACTACTTGGTAGACCTCATTTTCACCCTTTAAAATCTCTAGAATCCAGGAGCTTCCGGGGGCTTCGCCCCCTGGGCCCCCACCAGGGCTTTGGTAGACCTCATTTTAACCCTTCAAAATCTCTAGAATCCAGGAGCTTCCGGGGGCTTCGCCCCCTGGGCCCCCACCAGGGCTTTGGTAGACCTCATTTTAACCCTTCAAAATCTCTAGAATCCAGGAGCTTCCGGGGGCTTCGCCCCCTAGACCCCCACCAGGGCTTTGCCCTGGACCCACTGGGGGCCTCAAGGCGGCCCCCAGACCCCTTGCCTATTTTGGCGCCCCCCCTAACTCCAAATCCTGGATCCGCGCCTGTACATGTAGGCCTATGTGTACTGTTTGTTAGGAGACTGGGTGACCGTAATGCTATGGACTCACGAAATTTACAACAGTTCCATAATTAGACAGTGCAGTTTTTTTTTTATTAACGTACGTCATTATAAACACTGTTAAACATATTAAATCTAAAAGTCGAATATCTTTGGATATGGGGTAACCCATATCTATTCTTGTTTAAAACAATTTTAACAAGATGCAACGTTTCTGAAATTAAGCGCCTTAATTATTTAGCTAGGTAGAATGGAGTTTTAGATTTAATCCGTGAAATAAAATTTTCATTTTAAATGAACATGGTTATTTCTAGAAACCAGAGAGGTGTCTCTGTAGTATTTAAATTGTTCCTTTTCATGTTGTCTAATTTTGAAAGTACATTAATAGAAAAGTAAAAGGATTCTATAATTGTTGGCACGCAATCTTCATTAATTAGAGTTTTGAATATTGTATTAATCAGGAAAATAATGTTCCCCTGAATGCTTTTTTAAAAAGGAAAAATTTGTCGAGAATCCATCATTTTAATGGGATTATTGTCAATTTCTAAAAGAGTAGTCCAATTTTGTGGATTCTTCTAAAGATTCATCTCTAACAAATTACTTGATACACGAAAGATAAAATTGAAATGATATTCATTTTAGTGTAGTTGTAAGGCAGACCGACGCCTGTGGCTAATTTTTGAAATTACTAATGATGGCCCTTCACGTGCGAACACGCATGTCATATGTTCACGTGCAGATTATAGTAAGATAGGGCGAGAATTGTCGCCTGGTCTCTGTCATTGATGTTTACTGGCACATGCACCATATGCATTACTTTAGGGTACATCTCTAGTGCAGACAGGGTTCCAAGCCGATGTTTCTCAGTCAAGTATTAACCTAAAGTGGATCTCAGGGTTATTATACTACTTAAGCCTGTGTGCAGAATCACTAATTGGTCGTGGTTTTAAGATTCATAGCACGTAACATAGATTTGGCATATCAAATTTGTTTAATGTTGTTTGTGCTCTGCATTTACCGTACCCTCTCTTCAATTGTTTATAAGTTAGGCGATTTAAATAAAGAAAAATAGAATAATTATGACAGTCCTATTCAACCGACTGTATACAGCTGTACATGTATAATATCAGAACAGTGAACTGTTACTTATACTACATACTAGTATTGATCTAAAGTGTCTAATGTTTTAGTTTAAAATGAACATTCACTATGTTTCTAGGACCAGATAAAAATCGTCCGTTTAATATCTATTCATTTTTTTTAATATTCGCATTTTAAAGTAATTTAATTTGCATTGCTTTTTATTTTCCAATTACCCAGTCATAATTTTTTCATTATAAAGGTATCAAAAGGATGTTTCCTCTACAATAGAAGTAATTCCCATGTAAACTGAGTTTTCCCGTTGTACAATATTGTGTGTGGTAATCTCCCCGGATCTACACGGAGACGGGACGTGGAATGCCATTATTTCCCTCATTATAGTTTCATTTTGATCTACGGTGAGGTACTGGCTGTTTTAGGAAATCAAAGCTAACACAAGCCTCTGTCATTTGAAAGATAATATGCTAAATACTCGTTTATCAATCCGACATAAACTGTACATTTAGTAGGATAGTTCATTAGTGATTGCACACATAATAGCACGTGAAGTGTGGGAACTGCCGTCTGCACCATGGCCCTAGGGCTGAAGCATGCTGGTCGTGAAAAATGGACCACTGGGACCCCGCACGCGTCCAGTTGATGAAGGAGACACACGATTAATGACCCTCATCAATCGGAATGATCGGGCGTCAGGGAAAGGAAGCAAACCCATCCGAAAATTTTACGCCATTTGGAAATAAGTCGGCAATAATTCGTACAGTTTCCATCTTGCATCCAAAGTTCTGCGTATTTATAAACGGGCAAAGTACCATGCAAAGATTATTAACGAAACAGTAGAAAGCAATGTTGTAATAATTAAAAATGTGCATTGTAACATTCCTTGGCGATAGTTTTATAAATTGAATTGCTATTTTTCTATACAAACCAGAAATCTTGGCAAAACAGAAGGAAAATGGAAGATCGTGACATTTTGTTTAATTAGCTTCGCTCTGTAATTGTAATTAGATATATTTAATGGACATTCTTTGGGCTCGTGTAAATTTTGATGTCACAGAGAGAGAATCTGCGAATTTCTATTATTGAAATCTGCGAATCTCTGTTATTGAATTCTTAAAGTCTCTGAGTCATAGTTGAAATATTCCTACAACAAGATTTCATTCAGAGACTTCTCTATTTTCAAAGTTCTTAATGTCATGTTACGTTCCGTTTCCATTGATAAGATAGGGAAGTTATCACCAGCAGAAATTTATTTGGTTTTAACTTTTCCACATTTAGCCTTTCCCTCACACATATTCCCCACAGTGAGGTTTATGGTACATTTAGAGTATCGTCACCTGCTAAACGATCAAAAGATTGCTGCTTGTAAACATATTACTAGTATTTATATGTGGACTCTACAAGCTCGAGTGATGTATACCACTGCCACTGTAATAGATAATTTCGACCAAAAGGGACAGCCCTGTTATCTACTTCATATCTATACTGTTAATGGACTTTATAATCGAATTTGTTTGCAATTCAGCAAATACTTGGTAGAGCGCGAGTAAAGTAGATTTATACTCCTTCGTTGCAGAATCTTGACGTGCAGTGATTATACAGATCAGAACAAATGGCGGATGACATTTACTTTGGATCCCTTCGTATAGAAAGCAATACCGTCTTCTGATTTGATGCGCTTGGATCGCACAAAGCGAACAATTCTGTTTGAAGGTGCCATTAAAGCTTGTTTACGTTTCATCAGGACCCCCTCCTCTACCCTATTGATAAATCCAAGAAATGGAGATGCAAAAGCGACATGCTCTGCTGCCGACCTTATCGAGTCAAGAGAGGAGACTCTGTTAATTTCGTCTTCATTTCCGGTGGAGGGAGGCGGTATGGCGCGTCCGACTGCACCTGAGGTAGTCAGGTCTTATCAGACACGTTTTTACTGTGAGGACTTGTGACTATACACTCACACGGCAGATTAATAAAAGTTTGGTCGAGCTCTGTGCCATCAGGTGTCCTGGTATCTAATACTTTGGGCTAAACGTTAATTGGAAAATACAATTAAGACCCGTGTGTCCGCATGACATACCAAGACGTCGATCACTTCCCGAGTCCGACGTCTGTTTAGTGTGAGCCAAGGATACCCTTGGCGAACTGTACGATACCAGGGGGCGCCTTTCACTTTAATCCTGTACACCGGCCAGTTGAAATTCAACAGGCACCTGTGCCTCACCGCGGTAATGATTGACACCAGTTTTGTAACACGCGCAGATCCGATCAGTTTAAAAGAGAAATTCGGAGCATCAGATGTACAGTGCTGATAGGACGCAAGCACAGATTACAAGTAATTAGCAGAGGGGAAAAAATTGCTGGCGAAATTTACTTTTCTTGATTTATTGGGAAAAAAGCTACATATTTTGTGCAATAGAGTTCGTGACAATTGTGATTGGCAGGGTGGTGAAAATTTTTACATTCAGTTAGTAATATTAATTACCCAAACTATGCGAAACACTTTATTTGCTGTTTTGTTGGAATCTGGAAAAACATCATCTGTGATGTGTGCTTCCAGTGAGTTTCATACAATTCAGTAAGCAGCAGTTGATAATAAAAATGTGGATTAATTTTATTTTATTAATAGTGCAATTGTTCCATTTCGGTTTTGGCGTTAAACTTGGCACGTGTTATCAGGATGGAAACTGTCACTTGCCTTCTTGTTTTTGTGGAGGAAAAAGCGCACCAGGAAATCTGGAACCAGCGGAAATTCCACAAATGATAATGTTTTCCTTTGATGATGCTGTAACAGGAGAAATTCATGAAATGTATGAAAAGTTGTTTTCTCGAGGGCGACTGAACCCTAACGGTTGTCCGATCACTATGACAATGTTTGTGTCTCATAATTTCACGGACTATAACCTTGTGCGGTCTTTATTCCGAAGAGGACACGAAGTGGCTGTCCATAGTGTCACTCACAGGACCCCGACCACGTTCTGGAAAGAGGCCACTTACAATCAGCTTCAGTACGAAATCACAGAACAACGGAGCATTATTGCCGAGAATGCCGGGATACCTGTTCGGAATATTACGGGATGGCGGAGTCCGTTTTTACAGCCGTCCGGTGACGCTCAGTTCGCGTTATTACAAGAAAAGGGGTTTGAGTACGATTCCACTTTAACAATTGCAACTGAAAATGGCTTTAGTGCAAAACGATGGCCTAACACCATGGATTATGGATGGCAGTTGGATTGCAATGTCCGACCGTGTCCGTTCGGAAAATACCCCGGACTATGGGAGGTTCCGGTTCAGATGCTTGAAGTAGGGGATTCCGGAAGCGGATGTCTGTACGCAGATTCCTGTCGTCCGACAACGATGGAGGAGGCATTCCAGTTGTTTTGGGTCAATTTCCATAACCATTACACGGGGTCGCGTTCCCCCTTATTTTTTACTATGCACCCTTCGTGGTTACGAGAGGAACATAACATGAAGGCTTTGAATTACTTTCTTTTGACAATTTTACATTATTATCATGATGTTTATTTTGTGACTTATCAACAACATTTAGCTTGGATGAGAAATCCCACACCTTTATCGGACATTTTAAGGTTTGCGCCCTGGAAGTGTGACCATTTGCGGGTTATTTCTGATAAAGATGGCCAGGGCAGCGGACGAAACAACGCAAATCCTTCCTACATTTCCTTTTATCTTTTCCTCGTCTTTTCTGCAATTCCATTGTTATATAGAAAAATATTTTTTGATATATATTTTTGTTTATATTAAACTTTATAATTTCCCATGTTTTTTTTTTCATTCAAATAATTTTAAGACCGAAATTACTAATATACTTAAGCCAAATAACGTGAACAATTCTTGATGTCAAAATACATGAACTTCTAGTATATAAACTTGTTTATTAAAATAAATTGTTTTATAATTAAGATCAGATGATAAAAGTAAACAATTAACTTTTATCAAAATCTTAAATATAATAATTATTGTTATATAAGTAAAAGAAAAAAATCTAAGATTTTCATTTTAAATTCAAAGTTTCACAATAACAGGAATTAAAGTGACAAAAAATTGTATGGATTTAGTTAAATGTCGTTGTTGAGTGGTTGAACATCAGAAAGTTTACAATGTCTAATTAATATTTTAGAATCTTATTATTCGCATCATTTATAATCGGAATAGATTTGAAAAAAAATATTTTTATACATTTATTCATTTTTTTAACTAATTTTTTTTTTAAGTATCGTATTCCTTGGTCATCAAATTTTACTGTATGCAGTATTTCATGACTCAATTCAGGTATAATTCTAATTCTAAACTAATTAAGGTGTAAATGTTCAACCCTGTCAAACTGTTTTAAGTTTTTAAAAAGAGAAATACAATAAAGTACGTACAAAGATCTAATTTAAAAAAAAAATACAAGTACATACTTTTAAACTTAGCAGTAATACAGCGCTTATCATTAAACAGGTCGGGGGGAAAATACGGCATATACATATTATATTATAGTTCATGTATTTTCACATCGTTGAGCTAGTATGGGAGCATTTCAAACAAATTTTGAGAGAGGAAGAATTTTAGGAAATCTTTAGATAATGGAGAAATATTTCATCAGCATTCTTATAAACAGTAAATATATTCTTTTAAGTTATTTGTCATTAAAATAAATTAATAAGGCCCATTGAAGTAAAAGAAATCGGGAAAAGCGTGCAAAATATATTTTGACAGTTTTCTGCAGTTGTTATTAAATTTGTCGAAATAAACCATGGAATGTGTTTTTCACGCGCATGGATTCCCGGACACTCTGCGCCCGAGGGGTGCCGATGGTGAAAGCTAACATAATCTTATCGTCAATCTTTGACTGTACACCTGTGCAGGGGTCTTGGTTGTCTCTGGGGGCCCTCTTGCGATATAACGGGCGAAAAAAATTACACCATGCATCCCACGTCGCTGCTCCCGCCATATCGCACGCTATATTATGGCAAATGTTGTGTTTTAAGTTTATCTAATTAAGTGCAGGAATTAGCGATTACAGGTCCTGACATTTTTTACGATAATTTTTCAGGGCCGATTTTTTATTATCGGACTCGGCAGGAACAATCTGGCAATCTCTGCAAAAACTCTTAAATTGTTTGTCGAAGAAAAAGGGATTTAAGTAATGAAAAAAATAGGTTCCATTTCAAATCAATACAAAAATCTTTGTTCTTGCATTGATTGTAAGATTTCTATCATTTTGGGAAGATCGGTTTTCCAATCAATTGTGAAAATCCTAACCCGTTTCCTTCCTTGAAGAAGTGATAAAAAAATGTAGAAGCAATTGAATCTAATGCTCAAAAACGCGATTTTCCTAGGTTTAGATTTTAAATTGTGGAAATAAAAGTTTTTTCGTGTCCCTATGCTTAGCCTTCTTAATCCTCCTGTCTGTTTTCGTAACAATTACATCGAAATGATCGCCAAGTTTTGTTCTGCTACTTGACGATAGTGTAGTCACGGTACGAATTACCATTTTTTAAAATGCACGTGCCGGTTCTGTTTAATTCGCAGACATGCCTTCCCCCTCATTAAGATTTCTCTCTCTCCATGGTGCATATTCTCCGAATTAATCAGGATTGGTTTATTCGCTCCGTGTAATAATGGACTGGCTTTCATGTTATTTCGTTAATTTTAGCTTCAAATGACACAAGCAGCGCTTTCGCTGCTGGCGCGGAGTCTGGGGTGCGTTCGACTCCCTATTTTCGGAGACGGAGCAGACCGTTATCATTCCTGAGTATGACGAGTTTTCCTGAAGGTGCGTTTGTATCGTATATAAATCCTTATCAGGCCGTGATTGTGGGGCCTTGGGGACACCGTACCGATAAGTTACACCCCCGGGATATAGGTGGTAAATTTTGGCATACTTGTGGGCTCTATCGGGGTCATCTTATCATAAGGATCAACAAATTTATAGGCAAGCTGCCTTCTCCTTAAATAAGTGTATAAATAACAGCTGTATTTGTGTACAAGAAACACATTGAAATCTATCTGTAAGTGTTTTAGTGATTATATTTACTGACAAGACAATAATTTACGGCTCAGTTTACCTATCATAGGGAGCAAAGATCATTTTTCATCTCTCCTGGGGTTTTGATTTTCTCTAGTTTCGATCAATCGTCCAAGGCAAAAGTTGACCAAAATTTCTTTCTTGGACGAATCTTGACGTGGAATGATTACTCGTGATCCATCATAGTACGGCCCTGGCGACTCCGGAATCATCAATTAATATCCTCTGTTTATAGATCCCCTAACAAGCAGCCTAATTTGTATCGCCACACTAACAACTTGTCTGAACAACTCAAATCAAAATCTCGTTAGAGCCACTTAATCACTGTAATGGGTGATTTATGGAATGTTGGCCGGTTATAGGGAAGATGCGAAATACAAAATAATAAACAAAAGAAAACTCATTTCCCCCGGCCCCCAGAAAATCCCCCTACCGGATATCGATGTACGGACATTACCGCATTTCACTCAATCTCGGCAGTATTTTTGTAAATATACGACTCACTTTAAACTTAAATATTTATATTTATACATCATCGGTTAGCGGCAAAAAAAAAAAAAAAAATATTCCGACCTTCTTTCCTGAAATCTTAGAATTTGTGTCGTATCTATATCAGACGCCTATTTACTAGTCTGGGTGTTTATGGTGAAAATTTGAATTTTTCACAGTGAGGTATATTAATAATGAGGTTTTGTACAATCCAAACTTTAATGACGTTGTCTCGGAGGTAAGGGCGCCATGTAGCATGCCCTGACCCCGCTGACCCTAGCTGTGTTGGGTGGGCCCCTGTCGTGTGACACGTTCTCTCGCTCTGTCGTCTAAGTTTCCTACCGTCATTTTATATCTCAGTGCCTCTGTGTCCATGTTTAGCAAACTCTGCCGTCTTATTGACAAAATAGAATTAACTCTGTCACTAGATGAGAAGTGCTTCCGTTTCATATCTACAGGGTCGCGTCCTGCAGTTTGCCAGACATCGGTCACTTTGATTGGAATTTTCTATTTATTCATTATGGCTATAAACCGTTGATATCCCACTTAATCAGTGTAATATATGTAGTCCTTGTTTATCGCTCGGTGGCACGACAGATCACGACCTGGTTAAGGTCATTGTCATCATTAATAATACTAATATCTATTTATTTTTATTAATTCATGTTTATTTATTTATTTATTTATTTACAGTATTTATTTATTCATGTTTATTTATTTATGTTTATTTAGTTGTTGTGAATTTAAATCAGATCGACATTTATCGATTAACAGTTTGCTTTTTTCATTCAGTTTTGTTTTGATCTAAGAAATTAAAATTTTGCGAGTTAAAATTTAGGAACTAAAAGATTAAATGGGGCGGGTGTTTAAACAAGGTATATTCTGATTAGAGTATGCAGCAGACAAATTAAAAGTGTAAATTTCTGTCATGTAATCATTTTAACTTTAGATTGAAAATTAATAAAAGACAGACGTATGATTAGGAAATGCTTATATTAAAAAGAGGTATAGGAAAATTACTTTTCCAAAACCAAACAACCAAACATCAAGGCTATTATATCATGGTTATTACAAATTATGATTATTATCAAAGTTTAGTCATCGCTGCATAGTACCTTAGTTTAACTCGGGTAAAAATTAGATCACCGGGTGGTATTTGATCCGACATGTTTGCTACATTTTGTTGGGTCTTAGCTTTTATACTTATGGCTATGGAGACCTCGGTCTCCCTGATCAATAGGGCTCACGGTGGGTGCGACCGGTCGACAGGGGATGCTTACTCCTCAGGGGCAACTGAACCTACCACTGGGACTATAATATGAGCCCATACTAATAGATTATTTCACAGGAAGGTCACGTGTATCATATGTCGAATGATACAACCAAATAATAGATTGAAAATAAAGCAGACCTACATATGTATAGATTAAATGATGTGGAACTCAGTACAGATCTTCACTAACTTAGAACAAGAAAGTTCTATGGAATGAAATATTAATTGTGGTACTGTATGCTGTGTTGATTGATGTTATTTGACTTGATGTAAATGAGATGTGGATCCTTAGAATATTTAAAGAACTTTAAGAAACTTTAGAAACTATAAAATCACATTAATTTGTTTACGCCAGAAGATGCTTACTTCTCTGAGGCCTCTGATCCCATCCCCGGAATTTCCAGGGATCCGCCTTCACAGATTTGTGTTGTTAATAGATTTTTTTAGATCGATCAAAATTCGTTATCTACACATTATCAATTTATTATAAACTTTTTCTGTGTTAACACTATGATTGATTTTTGGTTGTGCATGCATATCAACATGGTAGTTCAATAAATAAAGGAATTGAATTAGATTAAATGATGATAAGCTATATGAAAAGAAATTTAATATCATTATAGCAAACATATTTAAGATGGGGATGGCTTAGAATTTTCTAACTTTGTCAGGTTAACAATATATATAAATGAATGTTGGGATGTTTTAACGTGTCAAGCTGCACGCACACCTTTGATTCCTTATTCAAATTCACAAAATGAGACGGTGTTTATTCTTTTTACCCTCCTTGCATGTCCGTAGAATTTTAACTTGAATCTCCGGGGTAGCAAATTTCGTAACTTTTGATTTATGTTTTCTTTCCATTTTGATAACTGGATTATATTTCCATTGTTCGGAGCAAAATTGATCACGTGGTGCAAACCGCAATTCTGCAGTTAGAATTGTGTTATACAAGGACTCGAAAATCGGATACCTAATGCAGT